ATCACCGGACAAGAGTGATTGGATTGGGGAGGGCCAGCTCATTCCGGAAGGACGCAGTGCCTACAAACCCCCCATGGCCCACCCCCCCTCACTGGGCCGGATCATCTCTGTTGGGCTCCCTTAGTAAGCTATAACGCTGAGGGGGGGTCGTTTTGCTGAGGTTGAGCCCAAAGCAGATTCATCATGGCAGAAAAATCTACCATCGCTGACCAAGAGGAATCATCCTACTAAGGCAAGTGGAAAGAATAACTCCAAACGAGCCAAGTCACGCAGGGAAACCACTAATCCACAGAGGTTCCCCAGGTCAGACAGGCACAACGGGAAGGCCCATTTTTGAACCCCTTTCCTCACATTGTGCCTCAGCCCCAAGGGCCTGGTCTCCCCCCCAGGGGAATTTCCTAACTAGAATCAGCCACAAGGGCGGCCCCAGGGACAGGCTTGACTAGCCAAGATACCCTTAATTTGGGCCCTCAGGCCACATTCACCCCCACTGCAGCAGGCTTCGCCCTCCTGAGAACCAGACTCTAAACCCAGACTACCTTCAGTCCATGATAGCCCAGGCTGTGGCTCAATTCATGGCTTCCAATGCCCAACAGCCACCCCCACAATCCATGTATCATTCCCAATCTCCAGATATCATGGATGAACCTTCATCAGATCTAGAATCAACAGGGGCTGAACCATCGGACCTGATTATGTCAGAGGACGAAGGTATCACTTCATCTGACCCCACCCCTCCTGTTGGTCTCTTTGACCATTCACTTTAATTCCTTGCTAATCAGGGCCTGCACAACTGCAAACCTCTTTCAAGAGCAGGAGGCCCCACCTGCAACATCCAAGGGTCCCCATGCCATATATACTGAGCCCTCAGCCTCTCAGAATCATATCCCCTTTTTTCTCAATATGGTTCAAAAACATGGGAGAATTTAGGACCCCTCTCAAGTCCTGGTACCATAGAGAAGACATTATTCAATGTTGCCCTTTCCCTGACCTCCCTGTTGGAGATTCCTGAGACTGATGAACCATCGAACTCATTGTTTTCCAATGCTAACATCCTGGGGATATAGATGGGGCACTTAGGGCGGAGAATAAAATAATTGACTCCACATTGCGTAGGTCCCATCTGGCATCAGCCTGGGCAACAAAGGCGGCAACATCCATGGCCTTCTTCTCCAGGGCTTCAGTCCTTGGGTTATGTGAGCTCCAGGACATGATCCCTCCGGACCAGCTCAGAGCTCACCAAAATCTGGGTGAGTTAGTGGCTACATCCCAGTTCCTAGCTGACGCTTCTCGGCAGATGGCTAGATACACTGTCCGGACCATCGCTGCAGACATCTCAGCGCGAAGGCTCCCTTGGCCCAGGAATTGGTGAGCAGGCACCAAGGCCAAGTGACGTCTGGCCTCTAAACCTTACACAGGTGGACATCTCTTTGGTAAGGCACTAGAACCATACTTAACTGAAGGTAAGGACAAACGTAAAACTCTGGTTAACTCATGTCACAGAGCAATTACAGGAGACAGTCCTTTCGACCACCTCCATCCTGGGACTGGGCCCGGGCATCTCTCTATTCCTTTCAAGGATCGTTCAGCATACAGAAGCAGACCACAGATCCAGGCCAAGCAGCCCCTTCGAGGCGCGGGAGGCCTTTCCTCTAAACGAGGCAAGTGATCTCACAGTCTCACCTCCCTTAGGAGCCCGGCTGGCCCTTTATTCCAGCACTTGGGCAGCCACCACTGCAGATGCGTGGTGTTAGACACCGTCACCCAAGGTCTGAGACTAGAATTTGTTCTCAACCACCTGACAAATTCCGCTCTTGCCCTATTCCAATGAGCAGGTCCAGGGCTGATCTTATGTCAGAGGCCATAGTTCATTATTACAAATACAAGCAATTGAACCAGTACCACAAGACCATGAAGGACGAAGGTTTTACTCAAACCTCTTCGTCATCCCTAAGACTTCGGGGGGCTGGAGGGAAATCTTAGACTTGAAAGGTCTAAACCTTACTTGAGGTATAAGAACTTTAAGATGCAATCACTTCAATCAATCCTGGCCAGCATCAGGCAAGGTGACTCTCGTACCTCAATAGACCTATATGCGGCATATTTGCACATTCCATTTATCTGATCACAGCAAATTCCTCAGATTCAGCTATGCCCAACGCCACTACCAGTACAGAGCCCTACCATTTGGCCTCTCATCGGCACTGAGGGTATTCACAAAGGTACTGGCGGTGTTCACAGCTCACCTTAGACAAGTTCCAATCAGAATTCAATGCTATTTAGATGACATACTAATTCAGTCATCATCATTCTGAAACGCTCAGTCAGACCTCGCCCTAGCCATCAAGGTTTTTCAGGAGCATGGTTTTCTGTTAATTTCTAGAAAAGTCATACTGTACCAACAACCCGGCTCCTCCATTTGGGCGCTGTTATAGACATGGACAATTGTACGGTCTACCTATCTCAGGACCGACGGAACTCTATTCAGACCCTTGTATGTCGGATCCGAAGGGACAGAGTAGGCACATTGGCCTCCCTATCACAGCTACTGGGGAAGACAGTCCTGCGTGCAAATTGTGCCATGGGCACACCTCCAGGCCAGAGAATTACAGTGGCCTTTCCTTCCATTTCAGAGACTTCACACCAGCACATCCCACCAGAAGGTCCGAGTTCCACGACCGGTGTTGAACTCCCTTCGATGGTGGGACTCCCCGGTGCTGTCACGGGGAGCAGAATTCAAAGAACCAGACAGGATTACCATTACCACAGACGCAAACCTGCTTGGGTGGGGGGCACACCTCCACATGCACTGGGCTCAAGGTCGGTGGTCCAACAGGACCTAAAGAACAAGACAAACTGGCTGGAACTCAGAGCCATACATATGGCCCTAAAGAGATTCAGCGATATAGTACAGGGCCAACATGTCCTGATTTTAACCGACAGCATTACAGCCAAGGCCCATGTCAACAGACAAGGGGGGACAAGGTCCAGGCCTCTCATGCAGGAGGCCAAATTGCTGGGGTCCTGGGCGGAACTGAATCTTGCCTCCATCAGGGCGGAGCACATATCCGGAGTGACCAACCAGCAGGCAGACTCACTGAGCAGAGCAACCATGAACCATTCCGAATGGCGGCTGGATCCGAAGGTGTTCAGAGAGATCGTGGACAGGTTTGGTTCCCCAACCTTAGACCTTTTGCCTCCCCCACCAACTCACAACTTCCCAGATTCCTTTCCGGGTTCCCATCTCCATCAGCGGAGGGAACAGATGCGCTCCGCAGTCCCTGACCCAGGGAACTACTCTATGCCTTCCCTCCTCTGCCACTTCTTCCTGCCATGATCAGGAAGATCCTTCGCAAATGAGCAGAGGTCCTCCTGGTTGCGTCGCATTGGCTGAGACACTCTTGGTTCGCCGACCTAATGGAGCTCTCCACATCCCCTCCAGAGAAGGTCCCAGCAAATCGCATTTCCCTCATTCAGGGGGAACTATGCCAACCAGTCCCTCAAAGGCTCCAGTTAACCGTCTGGCACTTGAGAGGCATGACTTAGGCTGAGACTCATATTCGTTGAAAGTCATAGCTATGATTCAGCAATCCAGGCGACCCTCGACGAATACAATATACGATGCCACGTGGAGAGGCTCCTGTAATTGGTGTTCGGTTCAAAATTGACCTTTCGGCGGTTTCAACGCCAGTTATCTTGGAGTTCCTGAGGGATGGTCTAGACAAGGGGCTTTCTACAAGCACCATCCGCAGGCAGGTAGGAACACTTGCCACAGTTATTTCCTGCGGTAATGAATCCTTAACACATCACCCTATGATACGCTCCTTCCTAAAAGGAGCTAACAACGCCAGCCCATCAACTGTACATGGATACCCCTCATGGGATCTTCATCCGGTTTTATAGGCTCTTGTTTCACACCCTTTGAACCTATTGACACTTGTTTATTCAAACAGTTATCGATGAAGGTGGCACTTCCTGTTGCTGTAACTTCAACCAGAAGGATCTCTGGACTGGCTGCTCTTCAGTGAGGAAGGACCTGTGTACTTTCCATAAGGACAGGGTAACCTTTAGGCTAGACCCCTCCTCCGTGACTAAGGTTAAGTCCTTGTATCATAGATCTCAGGAAATAGTTTTGCCAGACTTCTGTCCTAACCCATCTAATGACATAGAGGTTCAGTGGAAAAAATTGGATGTGCCCAGGGCTTTAGGTTGTTATATACAGAGAACCTCATCCTTCCACAGAACAGAGGCTCTGTTTGTGTCCTATCACCCTTCATCACTAGGTCAGAGGGTTTCTTCACCCACAATACACAGGTGGATTAGAGCTTGTATTTCTCTGGCATACCAGACTCAGTCACTGCGAGATCCCAGGCATATCACGGCCCATTCCACCGGGGCGCAGCTACTACAGCTGCCTGGTCTACTCAGGCCTCCGTAGAGGAAATTTGTAGAGCAGCAACATGGGCATCGCCCTCTTCCTTTGTCTGTCACTACAAGATGGATATATATGCATCTTCTACGGCTTCATTTGGCCGCAAGGTTCTAGAACATGCATTAACATCGGATGGGACCCAGGCCCAATCTAATTCCCCATCCTAGAGACACAGGGCTTTGGTATGTCCCATCCGTGGGTTCTCCATCCAATCATGCTAGAGAAAGGGGCGTTGTCTTACCTGAACGCCTTTTCTCAGCATGATGATGGAGAATCCACTCCCTTCCATTAGGTCAGTTGGCCTGGTTCCCATATTGTTCAGACGCGTCGGACTAAAGTCTGAGTATTGCCTTAGCCTAAAACTGGGGTGCAGTTGGCACAGATGGGCGGTACTAAATTTCAGACTTAGTCTAATTGGAGCAGATAGATTAAGACAACCCATCCGTGGATTCTCCATCATCATGCTGAGAAAAGGCGTTCAGGTAAGACAACGCCCCTTTCACACAAATATCTCAAAGTTCTCACCGAACTGTGATACATAGAAAGCCTTCAATGAAAGAAAATATACCTTCACAATTTCTTCACCATCTACAATCTTCAATTTTTCTAAGTTTTCCTTCAAGAGCTCAGGTTTCATTCGCCACTTCAAAAGGCCCAGTAAACCCACTACAGAAAAGAGAAGGAACATATTCAAGTACAAAAAGACAGAGAATACTTTTCAAGTACAATATAGAATATTAGGGTTTTTTTTACCATTTTGAGTTAGCTTAGTTGAGCAAATGAGAGTTGAAATGGCAAAGGAATCTCTTGAGCTTACAGAGAGCCCTCCGATAATGCTTGAGCTCCGACTTAAGGTTGAGAGTTTAGGTTCTACTTGACTGCGGGTTGAAGGGAGGCTCAAGTACATGTTGACATCTTCCATTTTCTTATTATCACCCTTGAAAACAAAGCATTAATGAGATGCACTGACTTCAGATGAAATTAAGCAGAACTTCTGTGATTTTGCTGTACTCATCCAGTACAAACTCCTCACTACCAAACATTTCTACATGATAAGCCACATGTTTAAAAATCTGAAGTGAGACATGAGAAAGCAAAGGTCTGCAGTTGATAAAGAAAGTGACAGTTCATAAATCCTTGTACATGTTGGAACAATATGTACATCTCCATCCTGGGCCACTCAAGCAATGTCAACAAGGTTCTTTCCTGGTACCTGGATATTATCAGGAATTGGGGGGGGGGTGCAGTAAGCCTTTGTCTCAACCCTGGCAAAACTTTGTAGCTGTGGATTTTAACTCCACCCCCTGCCCTTAGTTCTATCCCTAATTCTTCCTGGGTGTGTACTTTCAAAGTCAAGCTCTCCTTGAAGAACCGGTGGCAGGTGGGGATGGGGGGAGGTGCACTTTGCGCAATTTCAGCCTAATCACTAATTATGCTTCTTTCTGGATTGGGAAGAATTTGCTTATGGTAACTCATATTGCATTCCATTTGGATTATAGTAATTCACTCTACATGAAGCTGTCCAGGATCAGTGTTGAGAAATGGGCTGCCATATAAATTATTTAAATAAATTAAAAAGTATGTTGTTGTTGTTAGTTTCAAAGTCATATCTGACCCATCGCAACCCCATAGACAACCTTCTTCCAGGCCTTCCTGTCCTCTACCATTTAAGCTCACGCCTACTGCTTCAGTGACTCCATCCAGCCAACTCATTCTCTGTCATCCCCTTCTTCTATTGCCCTCAATCTTTCCCAGCATTATACATTTTAACATATTCAAGTTATGTAGATAAAGGGGCTTTGCTGTAATGGATTTTCAATGTTTTGCTATATTAAAGTGGAAGTACTCTGAAAAAAGTGAGAAACCACAAGGTTATTAGCTGTTAAAGGACTAAAGGGTTACAACCAGGTTAACTGAAAGACCATGCCAGTACTTGCATTAAACTATTCCACTGGCATATCCATTCTGCATTTGACTCCAAGTAAACCTGCCGTAGAAAAGGGATTAAATAATCATAAAATAAAATAAAGTCACACTGTAGATTAAATAAAGCAGTTAATTAATCTAAGTTATGGCTTTCTTTAAAATGCCCAAATTGGTCTTTAATGCCAGGATCACACTTTAAATTGGATAAGTGAATCAATAGGCAGCAAGTGTAAGTAGTACAGAATTACTCATATTACCATGTTCACCTTTTTCAATCCCTCTTTAACCATAGCTCAGTGCAATAATCCAAACTGGTCATTAAAAAAGGTATACAGTATCATTGTTGTAAGATCTGTTTTCCCCAGGTAAGCTTTCTTCTCTTCAAGGAAACCTTGAAAATACCCATTAATGAGTTATTTCCAAAATGAAACCACTCTGCTTACATGCATGTTTATGGCCAATAATTTGCCAATAGACTCTAAGGCTATGTGGAGCAGCAATGCTTCGCTTAGTATGGTTGACTCCATTCCAGCTGCTGGAGTAAGCTACTTCAAATCAGTGTCTCAGCATGTTCTGCCTTTACACCCTCTATTAAAAGCATCAAGGCAGGGCACTTTGCTTCAAAGAAAAGTCAGTCAAAAGCAAAGAGCGGATTCAGCACAGTATAGCAGCTTTGTTGTGACATGCAGAAATTGGACACCACTTTGCTCAAAGTGAAACACTTTTCCCTTTTTTTTTTTTTACATGCATGTCAAGAGTATTCTGTAGAAAGTAATCAGTTGCCAAATCACTGAAACCATAGGTTTCATGGTTGTTGCAATTCCTCTGAAAGAATAAATGATGCAAACATCAGAAAATTGAGCTAATTGCTAGTTGGCTAGTTGAGTATAGTTGGATTATTATTATTATTATTAGAATAAATGTCAGCTGCAGCATTTGCACCTGCTTTGCATGTGCTTGCCTTTTACAGACAAATAAATTTAATCTCCCATACCAAGCCATTGGATGCAGTTTTGCACTCCAAATTATCTTCTCGTAGATGGAGAAGTCAAAGCCGGTGCTTTAAATCCCATCTTTAGAGTTTAGACTGAAAGTGGACATAAAAGAGGTTTTCCCAACAATTGTATGAAATTATGGAATATTCCCTAAAAAGCTCTGCTAGAACTACCTTTGTTATTCTTTCTACTAGTCAATATTTTATTTTCCAAGACTTTCCATGGAGAATGATCACCTTTTATTATTATTGGCTTCGTCAATGAAACTATTTTACCGTGATACTTTTTTTCAAAATAAACAGATTTTGTATTCCTATAATTGAAGTCTACAATGGAATACCCTGTGGAACATCTTTCTCCTTGAGATGCAGTTGGCCTGACGATTTTAACCATCCGGAAAGCTGAAAAAAGGTGGCTTTTGTCTCAAACATTGGGATAGGACAGGGGTAAGCAACCTTGGTTCTTTCCTGGCTGGCTCAGGAATTCTGGGAGTTGAAGTCCACGAGTCATAAAAGAGCCAAGGTTGCCTACCCCTGGGATAGGATGAAGCCAGAGTTGAAAGAGAGTGTTGTGGTTGCATCAAGGGAACCATCTGGGTATGGCAACAAGTTTTGTTGTTGTTTTTTTAATAACTTTTTGCTTTAATATTTTTTTATGTTTTTATACTATGTGTCAAGGCTCCGACTAATGCAACCAAGTAAAGCAAAACTCTGAGGCTTGAAATCTCCTCAAAGCACAGGTTTACTGGATACATAATATCAGCACAGTCAAAATTGAAACCAATTCTAAAGTTTTCCCCAGAGATTCAAAGTAACTAAAAATAACAATTCCCTACCCTCTACTATGCTGTAAATCACACTAACGCAATGAAAGTAATTGGCAGGCTTCTTAATTCATCTTCATTCATTCTATTCCAGCTCCTGTGGGAATGACCTTGTTTCCATTCTCTTCTCCCTTGTTCCCCCCTCCCAATTATGTGTCAACTTAGAACAAGAAAGATGGCTTCAGCCAGGCTTGTTTCAGAAGTTGACACTATGATTGTGAACTGCCCAGATTTCTGGGTCGAGTTGGGTAGACAACAAGCATTTTAAATAAATAATGTGATTTTTATTTTTGTGAACTCTCTGCACATAATATTCTATTAAATAAATAATAAAATAAAATAAAATAAAGTGATTTTTACTGTTGTGGACTCTGCACATAATATTCTATAAACAAACAAACAAACAAATGTAAGCAATGAACCTCATATATACAGTATGCTTCCTCTGTAAGCTACTTGTGTAAGCTATGCTGTATTAAAACAGGAAGAGGTCATTAAAAGGAGGAGGAAAAAGACAAAATAGTCAATTGATCTACTGTCAGCTGCAAAGGTGAACTTTTCATACTTCCGTATGAATTCTCTTTGCTAAGTATATCAACCAGCTAAAAATGTAGCCCACAAGAGGGTTGACATCATCTTCAGGGGTTAACAGAAAATTTTCACCATTCGTTGTCCATCTCATGACTCTGGATTTTCTCAAGATGAACCATGGTTTGTGCATTGATTTGTACAACATGCTGAGGCTTAAATCCATGGTTTTCTCAGCTCTCGGCATTTCTGATATTAAACATCAGCTACTGTTTAAGAGAGCATCATTTCAAATGCAATAAGCCACTGAGTTTCGGAGAAGGTTTCTAATACTGTATCTGCATAATGGACCATTATGGTACTCTAAATATAAGCCAGAGAAAGGGTAAAGAAGGGTAAAAATAAGTTTATACCCTGGACATTGTTTGACACTTTACAACACAACAAACCAAATTCAGACAAAGTATATTATGCCAGAGCAACTTTTCTTAACGTGTACTATAATATTTTAATAGCCTAATGGGAAGTTGCCACTGGATTCAGCAATACCAAATCAATGCAATAAGATAATATGAGTGTACCTTTAAAACCGCCAGTTCATGAATGCCATCAGGCAGAGTTGTCCCGTCTTCCTTCATTAATTTTACATAGGCCATCGCAAAATTCTTTTCTCCCTTGTCTTTAGCTGAACAACCAGAATTAGGTATTAGTAGTTTTTACCAACTTATTTAATTTTGCATATTGAAACCAAAGGAACAAAAGAGGTTACTTACACTCCAAAGATGACCGATGTCTAAACATAAAACGCAAATGAATTCTTTGCATATCCTCAATGGGTAAGGCTACCTATTTAAAGAAATAGCATTTGAAACAAACGGCAACTTAAGTTAAATAATAAAATCAATGGAAAAAGGATGGAGGAAAAAGATTTGGAACAGGACTGTCAACAGTTATCCATAGAAAGGAAGCCTGTTATTTTTATCAATGAAAACTCTTGTGTACAATGATTTTTCAAAGTTTATATTTTATCACACATATCTTAGATTTTTTTTAGTAAGTATAAATCACTACTTATCTGAATATGGCTCAGAAGGATTTTTACATTTCATAATGAACTCATATCTAAAAGTAGTCCTAAATTTATTATCACCATTGGGATTGGATTTCCATTGTTAAGGAAATCAGTCATTAAGTGAGTTGGCCTAGTTTAACAACTGATTTGTTGATTTTTTAAGTGAATCACAAGGTTGTTAAGTGAATCTGGCATCCCCCACTGACTTTGCTTGTCGGCAACTGGTTGGGAAAGTCACAAATGGTGATCACATGATCCTGGGACATTACAACTATCATAAAAACATGTTGTTCAGGCACCTGAACATTGATCATGTGACTACTGGCACACTGAGACAGTCATAAGTGTGAGGATCAGTCATAAGTCACTTTTTCCAGTGCCATTGTAACCTTAAATAGTCACTAAGTGAATGATTGTAAATTGAGGACTACCTGTATTGCATTCATAATTATATATCTCTAGCTCCGATTTGCCACTGAAAATGACCATATAACTAATGTATTTTGTTTTGTTGCTAGTTCCAACATCACGTATTATCTTCCAATACAAATATTACATTTGCTGTTCTTTTTATCAGAGAACGACTGTTAGGGCTGGGCTGAAAACAAATCAGACTTTGGAATTAGATGATCCAAAAGCTATTTAAGGAGAACACAAATGTTTCACTATAAACTTTAGTTAAATTTCTATTATATAGGATCCTTTACAAAATGATTCTTATTCTGGATCCAGAAGTCTTTGAAGTCACAGAAATTAATTTGTTTTACTATTCTTGAAGATATTTTAATATGTTCTCTATAGTGTTCTGTTGTTAACAGAAACAGTTTCCTATACACTTTCTGAGTAGTTTACAGTCATCTGGAGTTATTTGCATCACATATTGTCTAGAATTTGCTTGTTACCCATTGTATAGAAACTACGGTAATGTCCACTACATCATTCACCTAAAAATTGGGATATATATCAGTTCTGCATTTTATTAATTTCTTCAACTTTTTATATAATATTTATATTTTTATATTGTATTTATACTGCCCTAGTGAAATAAAACATATACAGCAAACTATATCGTTATGATCATTGTTTTCATTTTCATGTAATCAGTCTCGTAGGATTGAAGGCAGTTATTTGAATAGTTCTAAAAATCATTTTAATGCATACCCAAACATTCTGAAGCTTGGATTTCTGGCTCTGTTTCTCAGAAATCCTCATTTAGCAAAATCAGCAATATCAATAGATTGTCTTAAGATTTTAAATTGAGAGATCTCTGCTCCTTGTTGTACCTTTAATGTCTCCATCCAACGGGGTTGTTTGACTTGATAGTAGACAACTGACTTGTATTCATTCACAGGCTTGTCTCCAGCCCCTAAGCAAATCACATTCTGTCCAAAACAGAAAAATGAAGAGAAAATACTACTTCCTACTTCTTATGATTGTATCATTTTCATCACTGATATATTTTTTCATTCATATCTATTATAATCCTTGAGATTAGTTTCTTATTCCAGAAAGGGAATAATCTAAACATGCACTGTACAGTTTATAGCATTATTTTCCAAACATAAGAACTTCTGGATGGTTGAACTACAAAGCTCAGAATTCTACAGCCAGCATGGCTGTTGATGAAAATTCTAGGACTTAGTCCACACAACCTGGAAGTTGTCAACGTTGGGGAATCTTGTCTAGAGAGCAGATAACTGAAAAGGATGAGATTAAGTAAAATATTCAGCTACTGAGAACCCATTGCAGATGAACTCTTATAGGAGCACCCACTTGCCTTTGATCTCCTGGTTTACTTTTTATTTGTTAGTGGGTAGTTATAACTCTGTTGTGAGTCTCCTAGTGTTTCATATGCTGTCAAGGTACATGGGGAAAGTTTTAAAAGGTGCTAATTAAAATTACTCCTCCCGTTCCAGACCATTGAATTGGGTGCTGCAAATCCCATAAAAGCTGGCATTCGCTGATAACTAACTAATTTTTTAAAACTGAAGCAATTCCTATGCAATATACATACTTGCATTTGTTTGTTTTAGTAAGTTTAGATGCCAGTACAGGTAGTCCTCAACTTACAACCACAATTGAGCCCAAAATTTCTGTTGCTAAATAAGACAACCGTTAACTGATTTTTGCCTCATTTAACAATCTTTCTTGCCACAGTTGTTAAATGAATCACTGCAGTTGTTATGTTAGTAACAGTTCTTAAGTGAATCTGGCTTCCCCATTGACTTTGCTTGTCAGAAGTTTCCATAAGATGGTCACGACCCTGGGACACTGCAACCGTCATAAATATGAACCAGTTGCCAGGCACCCAAATTTTAATCATGTCACCACAGGAATGCTGCAAGTGTGAAAAACGGACATAAGTCACTTTTTCAGTGCCATTTTAAATCTGAACAGTCACTAAATGAACTATTGTAAGTTGAGGACTAGCTGCATTATACAACTACGTGTGTCTGCGTGAGAGAAAGTATTTGCTAAAAAAGAAAATACTAAAACACAATTGCCAACTATACCAATGGGGAGGGGAAAAAAGTAGAAGGTAGTAAAATAAAACTGGGTATTCCCCTACTGCCATCCCACAAAAGAACTCACATAGGAGGTAGAAAGAGAGACAACTCCCCAAATACACAAAGACTAAAGCTTAAAATGAGTTGGGATTGGCAAAGAATATCAAAACAGATCCCCGTTCCTTTTGAAAAGGAAGAAAACAGAAGGGATGTGCCAGATGTTCAGTGGAGATGGCAAAATGCTAGCGGGCAAGAAGCACTAGATAGAGTAGAATAACTCAGCTCCTATTCTTGTCTCAGTCCTCACGTTCCACGAGAAATATGTAATGGAGCGGCCTATGATACGCTGATTAGCAAGCTAATTAGGTGTGAGCTGGATGGCCTGACAATTAAGTGGAGACATTGTTGGGCTTGAAAATCATACTCGTAGAATACTCCCTAAGAGTTTTCTCACCATCCTGGAGGAAAATACAGAGTAGAGTGCTGCATGGTTCAGTGCTGCTGTCTCTGTGCTTCAGCATTTTAATTAATTAATTAAATAATGGCAAATGAGATTGACAGTGGGTGAGATAGGTAACCCCCAGAAGGCAGAAATAAAATTATAAACTGTCACAATGAGTTAGAGAAACGGACTGAAAATCACAAAAGGGAATCTAACCAGGCAATTGCAGAATTCTTCAGTTAAAAGACCGACATCACGCAAACAGCTACAGGTACTCCTTGATTTACAAGGTTTATTTAGTGACCATTCAAAGTTACAATGGCACTGAAAACGTGACTTATGACCATTTCTCACACTTACGACCACTGTACCATTTCCCCATGGTCACATGATCAAAATTCAAATGTTTGGCAATTGATTCATGTTTATAATGGATTGCAGTGTCCTGGGGTCATGTGATCAGCTTTTGAAGCCTTCTGCAACATCAATGGGGAAGACATTTTCACTGAACAACCGTGTTACTAGCTTAACAACTGCAATGATTCACTTAACAACAGTTGTAAGAAAGCTCCTAAAATGGGGCAAAACTCACCTAACAAATGTTTCACTTAGCAACATAAATGTTGGGTTCAGATGTGGGTGTAACTCAAAGACTACCTGTATAAAATGGGGAATACCTGGCTAAGCAATAAAGTTGTTGGGGGGGAATTGATGAATGGGTTTTGAGTATAAAATGAATATGAGTCTGCAGCATAAGACAGCTGCAGTTTTAGGCTGCATGAACAGGAGTCCAGGGAATAATCCCACTTGTGATCCACCTACGGATCTCTCCACCTCCTTGAATGTTGGATCTTGATCTAGATATGACATTTTAGGAAGGGTGGAGAGCAACGAGAACATGTTTAAAAAAGGACGATGAAAGTGATTAGGTGTTAGAAATTAAATCCTATGAAAAGAAATCGAAGAACCTGGAAATGTTTAACTTAGTGAACAAAAGATGCCGGAGGGAGATTATAGCACTGTTCAAATACATGAAAGGATGGGTACGTGGATAATAGCCAGAAATGGTTCCTTCTTGCCAGAAAACAGGACGCAAAATAATAGATTCAAGTTACAAGAAAGCAGATCGTCCTTTAATATTACAAGAAAGGATTGAATCGACAATGGAAGGATTTAGTCAGAGATGTAGTGGGTTTCCCTTCACATGATGTTTTTGAGCAAAGATTAGACAGTTGCTGTTTTGAATTTTTATATGAAACAGGTAATGGAGGATAGCCTAAATGATATTCCCAAGCTTTGTGATTCTCTGATTTCTTTCTGTGCTTAGGAATTCCGAGAAGGTAATGTGACAGGCACAACTATTTTGATTAGTGGCAGCTTCAGCGCCAACACTGCAAATAAAGAAATAAAATATAAAGTTGAAGAAAAATGTCCAGGGAAAGCAAAGAATGAATAGCCTTTCACAAAAGTTGTCAATCCTGTTGAGTCCAATTTAGAGCAAGTAGATGATTTCACAAATAGAAGAAAAAGAAGCCAAAGAAACTATTTCTTCTATTCCTGTTATATAGTAAAATGGGCCTACTTCTCTTTCTGTCTTGGAAGAGTAACTACCTATCATGACAAAGCAAGAAAAAAAATCACCTATATTTTCCCAAAATTCTCTCAAACCTGCTACCATGCTTATTCATGCTAATGGAAATGGACAGAATGGCATCAGCATTCACGGGCATGCAGACAAGGAAGATATTAAGAGGTAAGAAAAATTAGACACTATAATGTGTAAGGGTCTTGCCAGTTACAGAATTAACCTGCTGTTCTTTTTTCCTCTTCTTTTAACAGTGCTTCAAAAAGTGTTTATGTGTAGATATGAATATGTACGTACATTTGTACAAGTGTCTGAATAGACATTCAGACAGAGAGACAGAAAGACAGAATTTCCCCAACATATTATTTTTAGATGGTATTATTTTTTGTGTTTTGGATTTGTATAATTTTATATTTTATATGTATCCCCAAGAGACATTATTGAAGATGGGCAACCACATAAGCATTCTAAATACATAAATAAATGTATACAGATTTGGGGAGAGAGGAATCTCCATAATTGCTTTCATTTGGAAAGGGTTTTTATATAAGTTGATAACTTGTGGGGCTATCATTTAAACCCAGGTTTGTGTTCATTTGGGATAAATAAACTCAGTGGTATTTCTTTTTTTATTTTTGCATTGTGTAGCTATTCTTTTCTTCAAATGCCTTCCTAATTTCTTCCTTCTCATTTCAATCAATTCTATTCATTCCACAGGAAATTCCCTGGAAATTTAACAATGCAAGAAGGTAATTATTTTCAAACTTTCCTTTGGAAAGAATTTGTTGGCTGATTACGAGTGTTATTTTTGCACCTCTTCTCACTTTACAATTTTCTGTTAAATTAAATTTTTTATCACATCAGAAGCATCCATAACTGAGCCAACACTGCACATCAAAAATGCATGAAGTTTCTATTAATTTGAAGGGACAGCAAAGGAAGAAATAAATCCATTGCATTTGATAAATAAATTACTGTCAAAGGATCATCTTTCATCATATTTGAAACTGCATGTGTCCAACATGCAGTATGCAGGCTGCATGCAGCTCTGGACTCCTAGTAATGTGGTATCAAAATAATAAAAGATAAAAACATTAATAATATAAAAAATAACAGAAGTTTGTTATTTATATACATTAACTATATTTGCATCTGGCGGAAGAAAATTCCTTCTCACTCAATGAGACCCATGCAAGCCAAAAGCTTGGCCAATTATACTTTAGACCAGTGGTTCTCAACCTTTCTAATGCCGTGACCCCATAAAGAGTTCCCCATGTTGTGGTGACCCCCAACCACTTATACATCACCGGGTGCCAGGGGCATGGCCAAAGAAAAGGGGAAAAAAATGGCGGACAGCCTTGTTTGGCGACCCCCGTGAAATCGTCATTCGACCCCAAATGGGGTCCCAACCCATAGGTTGAGAACCAGTGCTTTAGACAAAGAGTTAGATTTGAGATACAGTCATGAATCTTCACTAAGGTTTCAAAAGGAATCTTTCAACTTATGCACATTCTGCTTCTATCTTACATGGTTTAAGTTTTTAAACAGATTTAAACAATTAGAAGACCTCCAAGGTCCCTTCCAGCTCTGTTATTCTGTTCTGTTCTGTTCTGTTAACAAAAATAAGTAACAAAAGAATGTAAAAGTAGAATATCAAGAAAAATGTGCATCATCAGTATAGTATGTTTGATCGGTAAAACTGAGTCTTATTGGGGCCTAAACATGTTTGTTTTATTTTGTTTAATGTCTTATTTTACAATTCCATTGGGTTTTTATTCTTCTTCACTGCCCACAGTTTGTTCTAATAGATTGGCAGCCATGTAAAACTCTTTAATAAACATACAGTAAATAAATACAATGTTTCCTATGCATTAATAATTTTAATATGCTCTTTGGAAGTAAAGCTGTTGCTTTACTTTAGTAGTTGTTTCTTAAGCAAAAGCAAGAATTTTACAACATATTTATATATTTTAATCTTCAGACATTAAAAAAAGGTAACTCAAGGAATAATAAGTAAAAGGACAAAAGATTATTATGCTCTATCCATGAACATTTTTCATCACTTTTTATCTCCTGGAAATTGTTCCCTGACACAGCCACTTTAGTCTGCATGTTACCAGTGGGAAAAGAGGAAAGCACGAACTTCCTTTCATTAACATGTAGGGAGGATTAGAAAACTATTACTGATGTGGAGGTCTTTCAAAATAATAATGCAAGGTAGAAGCTTTTGACTATTAGGCCTATGCAAAACTTCAAAGAGGTGCTTCACTTTGACAAAGCTTTCAACAATACACCTTCCCAAACTGCTTTGTAATGGTTTCCTCTAAATTTGACGTTTATGTGATTACTAGAGTGATGGGCCAGCATGATCTCCAATTTAGGTCCTGGTAATGTTCTCTTTATTAACATTTCCCTCCCTCCACTTTCTAGACATAGACATCTGTGGGACCTTCTTGACAATTACATTACAAATGCGTTATATTTAGACATAGATGCTGCAGTTATAATTGCCTCAGTTGGAGGTAATGATGCCATTTTATGGGCTCGTTTTAATTGGTCTCTTTCCCCCAATGAGAGAACATATTATTCCCATGTTAAACAATCTAAAACATAGTAAGGCAGGGTTTTGATTGGTCTAGGCAGTTTGGAGATAATTTGGACCTTGTCATTCTTAGATTTTATTTTTAATACTTTCCCTTATCCTAGTGACAAAGCAATAGTGAGTTTTCCAATATTCCAATTTTCTGGAATTTTCAACAAGCTCTTTGATAAGTGTTGATTAACAAAGAAAAATATATTTGCCGCTTTTTAATTGCCAGGCTGGATTCCCATTTCTTGCACCTGTGCGTGGAAGATGAATAAGCTCACGCTCTCATAAAAATGTGCAGGTTGAAGTGTGGAACAAATGCTATGAAATGGACCAAAAGACAGATACTAATCATTTTAAAGGAGTTCTTGCTGAATCTAACTAGCACTTTGCCTTAGTCTTCCATTATCAAACAAACATCTCAAGTCTAAAAGTTCCTCTTTTTTCCTCTCAGTTCACACGTCGTATACCTTGATGATGAATACTGATATACTTCTTATGTGCCATACAGCATGCTAAACTGTAAACAAGGCTGTAGGAATTATAATGGCTGAGTTAGACTAAAAATCAGCCATGCTATGGATTCTCACAAAGCTTGGATTTTTGTGCAGTGCTTTTTTTCGTAAAAAAAAAAGGTGCCGGAACTCACACATGCCATACAACCTGCCTTGCTTACCCTACAAGGTTCCATCCAAAAAAGGTGCCAGAACTCCGTTCTGGGCGTTCTATGAGAAAAAAAGCCCTGATTTTGTGAATCCAGTCTTTGTTTCATGAATTGCATAAGATAAGTTCCAAAAACTAGCATATGGATACATATTTCTGCAAACAGAACCTCTGGACCAAAGCCAGTAGATTCTTATTCAGAAACTCTACAGAGGAAAATGACACTAGCCTTTAGCAATGTTATTTTAAAAAAATACATTAAGAGCAGAACAGCACTTACAGGTATCACTTTTCCATCCTCATCACAGACACACATGTTGACTTCTACATTTCTCTGAGTAGTTTTATTAAATTTATCTAAATCTCCATGTAGCAAAGTAATATAGATGTCATTCCTTACATCGCCTGTGAAAGAAACACAAAAAGTTAGATATAAGTAGCTATAGTGACAAAGCACATTAAAAACTATTTCTTCCATACCCTGGGTTATACAGAACGTTCAAGAGGAAAATGAAGTTAATTGTCTCTTCAGGGAAAGCATGTTTGCACTGTAGCTACATCATCAATGCATAATCCTCATTCTGCAGTGACACCTTCTGGTGAACTTTGGTCAAATCAGTTGAGTGAGAAAATGGCAAGGATAACACTGAACTGTGCCATGAAGTCTATGCAGTGAATGAGCAAAAGTAGAGAGTAGGGTGGGGAGACAAAAACTGCAAAGGGCAAATTTCACTTTTTGCAAACAAGCCTCTTTTATGTTCATCTAAAAACACATGCATATGGAAAAGCAGACAAACTCCATTTTCTTATTTTAAGAAGAGATTTTTTTTACTTGCTGGGTCTTGAAGCCATGCATCTTTTTCACCAGACTTTGAATGGTCAGTGATGTTAAGTTTTTTGGAAAAATTCTTGTTTTGTAAGCTATTATATGTCAAATAACAGGGTTAAAAACATAAATAGGCAAATAAATTTAAAGTACGTATTCACACACACACACACACACACAAAAAAAAAAAAAAACCTAAAAATATGCCTTTATACTAATGGGGGTGGAGGGGAAGGAGAAGAGAAGGAGTGGGGAAGAGGAATGGGAGGGGAAGAAGGAGGAGGAGGAAGGCTTTCTGGGTGCCATTAAATTATCTGGGTGCCATTAATTCCCCACTGAAGATGGAAAAAAAATAATTGAAAAGTAATGACTCATAGATCTATTTTTTTTACATAAACACTAGGCATTACCAAAAACTAAAAATAATAGTTAACGGCCAGAAGGATTTAAGTAAAGGATTTAAGTGTAGTTAAAGAAAAGCTGTACTGTAATTTGGTGACTTTATGCATAATATTATCATATTTAGTCTCAACACGATCTGTTCTTGGACCTTAGGAAATAAAATTTGCTTATTACATTAATTGATGAAGATACTCTGGGATCAATTTAATTTTGATTTAATGAAAAGTTATAAGAAAATTATAAAGCTAAGTAATGATGCTTTTATCTTTTCCCCTGATGTCTGGGAGGGAGGGAGGGAGGGACGGAGGGACAGAGGGAGGGAGGGAGAGAGGGAGGGCTTTCAGTTCAAAAGAAAAAGGATTGGTATCGTACCTGGCATGATTATTTCAGGGAAGCCAAGCTTCCGAGCAACAACTGTTGTCCTGTCAACAAGGTGAGGGTAGTCCTTTCTAATATGAGTAATGTCTCCAACAAGTTTTTTCATGGTTACCCATAATCCTATACGACATACAAAGATAAAGAAGACTTATCGTGAAATGGGAACTAAGGATTCAAAAAAATATATAGATAAGGAAGTCCAGTTGAGAAGTTTCACTCTAAAACACATTCACATAAGCAAGTAGCTCATGCACCAACTGAAATTTTTGTTGTATGAACAAGGGGCTCCATTTAAAGCTTGTATAACCAAACATATTGGAAAGTGCATGTACGTCCCTACGTAATATTATTGATTCCTAGTACTTCTTCCAACTTGGCTCTCGATGTTGTGGAAACTGATCATAAAGGCCTCCAATCATGCCATCCCTTTAAGGATATAGATATGAGAATGGGGGAATGAGAACAGGCATATACTTCACCTTGTCCACCACTGTCACTTTTGAATGTGGTAACCTTGCTTAAGAGGTTGTGCAAAAACTCATTCTCTGGCACACTGAAAGAAAAAGAAAAATATTACTGCAAACCAAAGACATATAATGAATCAAAGTCAGTTGAGACAACTTTTTCATCAGTACTTGAATGTGAAGGAGTACATTTAGAGTACCAAGCAGAGTTATTGAATATGTGATAAGGGAAGAATTGTTAAACGTAAAACAACAAATGCTTCTAAGTTTAATAAAGGGAAGACAGTGGCAAATCCAGGAATTAACAAATGGCAAAGGGAATCAACACAACGCTGAGACTCAGAACGAGACCTTCTAAGGCAGTGGTTCTCAACCTTTCTAATGCCGTGACCCCATAATACAGTTCCCCATGTTGTGGTGACCCCCAAGTGGGTGGGGCCACCAATAAGAGGGAGTAGGACAGCTAGGGAAAAGGGAAAAAAATGGCGGACAGCATGGTTTGGCGACCCCCATGAAATGGTCGTTTGACCCCAAATGGGGTCCTGACCCACAGGCTGAGAACCACTGTTCTAAGGCTTATCTACCAATACCTGCACAATAATTATTCTACACTGTGAAAAGGATGCAACAATAAGAACATATTTGGATTTAGATGACCTCCGCATGTGCTTTCAGTAAGCAGAAGGTCCTATATATGAAAAATATCTTCAGATACAGTCCATTTTGATTTATGTATATAATGACTTCTAAAAATACTTTTACAATCTTTTTTCATAATGACTGCATCCTACCAGAATAATTTTTTTACACATTAAAAATGTTAAACAGCAAAATTGTCTTACGGATGAAAGGGAATGAAATGTTGTTTCTCTTCATCACTTTCTGCTTTTCCTTTTATAATATCTGAGATGTCCATTACTAAAGAAAGAAAGAAAGAAAAAAGCTATCAAAACTTGAAAAAAGGTAACAGATGTAACTTCTTTCCCAGTTAGAACCATATATCTCATGAGCCATATATAAATGCATTAGAATAAAAGCAAATTTTAAAAAGCAAATTTTAAATCTAATATTTATCAGAATAAGACAGTGAATAAAATAAAGGCACACAAATACATTGCAACAAACTTTGCTGTGCGGATAGCATGTATGTGAGGAAGCATTGCTGATATTAGAAAACTAGTATCTGCCTGAGAAAACAGTACATGGAAAAACTCAGTGATCTGCCCCCCACTTCCTGCATCAGCCATTACTTATTTACACATCAGTGAAAAACTGCCGATAACTATAAAAGCCCTAAGTAAATACCAATTAATTTAGAGCTGGAGCTGACACAGCTGATTGGATATGCTTGCTTAATAATGCATTCGCATTCAGATTTTGCTTGCCTGTGCTCTGGTATTATTTTTTATTCCCTATATAAAATATTAATGAGATAATGCAAAGGTGAGCTGATTATTAGGAGTTCTTATCTTGTCTTAACATTCTTTTTAACCTGGTGTTTTCCAGATGAGCTGGATTACAAATTTCTTCAACTCTCTCAACCAGACTGATCATTAGAACTTGCTGGCTATGATGATTGAAATTTTTAATTCAGCGCATCTGGAAATCACTGGGAAAGAAAACATTATTGCATCATTTCTGCATCACACGAAATATTGTGTCTTGTTCTCTCATGCTGCTAAAATAAAATGAAATCCACCATTCTTTGATCAGCCACCTTTTTCATGGATTTTTTTTTCAAGCACATCTTAAATAACATCTCACTTAGTAATGTTGGAACAAATTTAGGAAGGGATCTTTGCTTTGATAGTCACTTTCATGTCTTGACTTCTCTTGTGATCACACAATATAAAGAATACTTCTAAGCTACATGTTCAACATTTTCTTCAGAATTGTTTCAGTAATGTCTAGCCAATATCATTATATGGATGAAATACCAACATAGCTTCATAAATCTCTGATGGATATATCAATACACAAAAGATGTCAGTGTGAAGGTGAGAGAACAGTATGCAAGTCCAATTACCCAAACAGAATCCTATGTATCCAGTGCCAAAGCTTATTCTTATATACTTCTTGGCAGTGAATATGTTATAAATGACATGATCTTGGTAAATCTGTATATCAGGTATCATCAGCTCACATTGACTGGGACCTCAATATTCAAAGTCAATGGTAAAGTGGGAGGTGGTGACACTTTGATAAGCAAAGAGTGGCTATACATACATAGGTGCAGGTGGAATTGTATTAAAGACCGTGAAGGCTTTTTGGATCCTGTCCATTCTTTGCCTTACCTGCCACTCCAAAAGGCCGTCTTATGCCGTGAGTATATTTTTTGGTGTTAGTATCTTTGAGATCCATTTTTCCAAAACGTACAATTTGACAGATCAAATAAATCCGTTCTCTTGCAAGATCTTTGTTTCCGAGATCCTGAGATAAATAACAGCAAAATCCAGTTCACAGACTGACAGTAAAAAGCTATGACATCTAAACATCAACATTTTCTGAGTTATTACTGGTGTAATAATATAACAATAACAACAGAAAAATGTTATTTCAGCACCCACTGATTTAAACAACATGAAGGAAATAGAAACTGCAGAAAATAAAAAATAGAAATAGAAAAGGAATAAAAAATAAGAATATAATCAAGGAAAATAAAAAATGAAGAAAAGAATTCCCCCTTCAGCACAGAACGAACAGTTTTATGACCTTCACTTAACATGTAACAAATTATCTCTTCTTTTCATATCCCTTCTCTTATCTATAACAAATCCTTAAAGGCTCATCTTTCTGTTCTGATTAGGAAAAAAAAATCTATTAAGCATTACTGCAGATAACAACATATCTATCTTAACTTTGATCAAACAGACCAACTTTATATTCCCTCCTTTTAAGAATCATGAACTTTATTTCCTTCAAATAATATCCTTGAACTTGATTTCTTTTAATTTTTCTTTGTCCCTTCTCACAAAATTATTTGGAGCTATAACAAGACTTTTTAGAAATATATAGGAAAATTAGCCAGGTCACTCTTTTGCATTATTTGTGTATTCATTTTAATTATTAAGACATCAGGCAGCTTTATTTGTTTGTCCAGTGAAGCATCTTTTTCCATATTGTTCTTGCAGCTTGTCCTTTTTAAATCCACTCAATCTCAGTCGTGTCCAATAACACTTGTTGCTTTTCCATAACTTCTTTTAAACTGTCTATCTATAGAGACATACACTTTTAAATGATCTCCTGGGTCCAAATATATCCTTCAATATGTCCAGTGTTAAAATATTTTGCTCCATTCCATATTAATAAGTCAAATTTAAATGCTCTTCTCTTTGTAATCTTTAGTACCTTCTGGTTCTATGTAGTATCCAACCTTCAAAATCTCATTCCATCATAATTTGTTTAAAAAAAATAATTCAAAACAAAATTATTTCTCCCTGTGAAAAATTCTTACAATTAATTTGAAAATCTTATTTCCAATCCATCTGGACTCTTAGTTTATTTGTAACTTTCCCAAGCCAAAGTTCTAATCTCCCTTTTGCTATTTATTCCAAAGAAATAATACTTTTAGCTTTTAAATTTGCACTTTTTTTCACGTTAGAAACAGCTGTCTGGAGCACTTGTGGATCATCTTAAGTAGTGGAGTCAATCAACAAATTACTGATCCACTCAGCTATGCTTTTAGTGAAGTTGTCTTCAGTTTGGCATTTCTTTCCCAGAAGTTCTAATTAGGATATAATTTGTATGTTTCAGTGACTTACTGACTTAGTCATCTGTTGCATTTAGCGTAACATCTGTGTACAATATGATAATTTTTCTTGTACCACAATATTAACGTTTTTCAAATATAGCTAGATAAAAGCCATAACCATATGGATCAGTTATTTCAAGATGACAACCACCATCTACTGTATCTTCGGCGTTTCAGGATTATATCAGTCTAGCCAAACACTAGATTTAGTCTTACAGCCAAGGCATCAGTTGCATGAAATTTGTTTCCCCTCCATATCATTTATTTGAAAAAGTTAGTTTTATGATTCATTCAGTAATTTTTCAAAGAGAGGAACCATCACTATTTCACATCACTACTCAATAAACTAAAAATAAAATCCCTTTGTAAAAAATAAGTTATATAGCCCTACTCACATATCATGCAATCCTATTTCTTCTTTAACTATGGTTAGTTAAATAAGCCACAATAGCTGTGTTTGCACAAATCAAAAACCCATAACGGCTTTGTATTATATGCAAAGTTAGCCATAGAGAGAGAATGAATGAAGTGAGGTCACCTAGCAGAATTCTGCTAATTCTGTTTCCTGTGGCAGAGGAACGTTAGCAGGAGAGAGAACAATCACGAAATTTAATAAATGAGAAATACTTGATTCTGCAAGCTTTCTAGAAAATGAACAGGTAGTATGGGTTGTTGGAGTGAAAGGACTGTGGTTTTTTTTTTAAAAAAAAAAAAGCTACTCACAGTGAAAACCACTTTCAGATTGTTGAAATTGTCAATTTCTTTGACAAAACCTTTGCTCCCCCATCTCACCAAGTAATTTTCACTGTGGAAAAGTAAACATTATATAAGCTGAGATTATCACAATGAAAATAGCACTTTATATGATATTGACAAGCAATTTTAAATTATATTATGTGCATCATTTAAAATTCTGCCAATTGTTTCAAACTTCAGTTCCTGCAGCTTCACACATCATGCTAAACCATGACTAAACCTAGAACAATGGGGAAAGACTGAGACAATGGTTAATAATTATGTAAAGATACAAGCAGGTCCATTAACCTATTAAGGTAGCTCAAGCTTTGATGCAAACCTGGACTGCCTATAAGTCATTCTGATGGCTTACCAAATTATTCATTAATACAAATATGTCTGTTCATAAACTGTATATGTTTAATTTCAACACATCCTAAATTCACCCAAACCACAAGAGATTATCATAATCCATACATCTATAACCTCACGCACACATTAAAATTTCTTAGGGAAATGACCACTGTGCATCAGTGAAAAAAACTGGCATACCTTATCACTGAATGCTTATGGGGATCATAGAGGGACATAAAAAGTTCAGCATCTTCTCCTATTTTGCAGACAAAATTTCTTACAAAGACATAAAGGCTGTGAGTGGGGGATGAAGTATTTCGGCAGAAAGTTCCGTACACAGGCTCATCTTTTGACTGAGAACCAACAACAGTTAAAAGAAAGAAGTTATTAGAAAAACAGCAAAAGAACGTGATAAACAGATTTCCTTTTTTAAAAAAGAAAAAATCATGTTAATGCTACATCACATATTTGGGATCAAGAACATTTAAACCACAACATTTATCACACTTTTCCCAACTTTTCCTGTCCAGCTGTAATGAAATATAATTCCCATAATGTTTGGTCATTTTAAATACCTGAGATACAAGCTTAAGTTAACTTTTGTTGTAAATATCTACAAAGTTCTCTCTACTTTTGAAATTAAACAACTTTGTATATGTGTAAGGCAGGCTTTCCCAAACTGTGAGGTGTAACTCTCTTTGGGGAGGTAAAGAGTCCAGGGGAAGTGTGAGAAATCTTATAATTCTCAAATTATTACAATAAATTCACATTTCCCAATATATTAGCTTCAATTGAATAACCTAGTGCTGATGGAGGCACAAACGTTGCTTTTTATTTTTTTATAAAATTATCAAATATATATATTTTTCGTTGTATTGTTTTCATTGTTCATTTGTGTTCATTTTGTTTTTTGGATCTTTAGGGGAGGCATATACATAAACAGGAGATATGATAGTAAAAAGGAAACTGTTATATAAGCCGTTCTTCTCCTTCCCTACTTTTTACTATAGATCTTGGTCACACAATAGTTATAACATGCTGCTATTGTAATTTCTTATGTGCTACTGATTTTTAAATGATATGTAGCATTGCTTGCTGGATATAAGTTTAAGCAAATTCAGCATTAATTTTTTTTTTATTGAAAATTTTTAAAGTTTTTACAGAAAAAAAACAACCCTTTCAACCCACCCCGACCCTCCCACTCCCTCCCTCAACCTTCCCAGAGCTGAATATAGGCTTAATTAAAATTTCTTAAAATCTTAAAAATATATATATAAACCATGAGTAAGTCTAAATACATTACTTAAACAACTTATAAAGTAATTAACAATAATATATATGTAAAAAAGGGATAAATGTTAGAGAACAAAAAAAAGAAATACTTAATAATAATAATAATAATAATAAAGAAAGAGAAAGAAGAAAAGAAATATAAGAAAATGAAATAAAAATAAAAGATATAAAGAACGAGAAGAAAAAAAAATAAAATAAGAAAATAATAAAAAAAATTACAATCCATAAAATATTAAGATTTATATATGAGTTATTGAAAAACTAAATAATATTTTTTTATATCCAACTTGTATTGTATAAAATCTATCCATTTTTCCCATACCGCAAAGAAGTTCTCTTGCGATTGATCCTTTAAGAAAGCTGAAATCTTTGCCATTTCCGCCAAATAAGAAACTTTAAAAAACCACTCTTGCAAGGTAGGCAAAGATTCCTTCTTCCAATATTCAGCATTAATTTTAAGGGAAAGCTGATGCTTCACAAAGGAAAAATACTTTTTTTCCACTTGGTCAGAAATTAGATCAAGGAGATCTCTCTCACACACAAAAGCTCTGTTCAGGAAATAGTGCACTTGAACATACCATGTCCCAGCAGATTTGGTTACCTGAAGATAATCTGGCATTGTTCACTATGCACAATTGAGCAATATCATGATAACCTTAGGTACCTGGTGCTTCAATAGGAATTCAGAATAACAGAGTTGTATCTACAAACATCAAGAACAACTACTTGGATAGCACAGAATGTAGTATAAGTTACTAGCTTTTAGAAAATTTGAATCAGTGCACTACTTAATTTTCTTCATACAAACCATGGTTTGACTTAGAGTCTACGGACATGGATAATAAGGAAGGTCTTGTCCTCCCTTCTGAATTTTATCTCCCCTCCCCATTTTTTTTTACAAAGGTTGACCACTGCACATTGTTTTAAAAGACCAGGTAAAGTATATCTGACTTTTTAAAAAAGCTTGCTGTAGGCCTTTTGGTCTGCACCAATATGTGTGTCAATTGGTCTAAGTTATGTTATTGGTTTATTGATGGATTGAAATCAGCATTTTAAAAAAGCTGGGAATTCAGGATAAATACTTGACGTGAAGAGATATTTTAATATGCGTAATGAATCAGGAAGGAGAAATGATTGCTAAACTGTTCCTGATGCTTTTACAGATTAATCCTTTGTGGGAATAAATAAGGAAACCTCTGTTTGAGAGTAAAAAGATGGAATGCAAACCCCGTACCATTTCTTCTTTAATTCTTTCTGTGATTTTTTTTGTAGCTTCTGTATGTGCGTGGAAGAGACTGATGACACTGGTTTTGTCAGGATCCAAAATATTGCCATCTTCATCTCTAACAATGAGGTCCAGCTCAAGAATCCTGCAACATTAAAAACCATTCTTTAATTTCAAATAGACATCACGCTACAAATATCTTAGGTTTCATTTCAAGTTGTTTGAAATTTGGCTGATGTTTGTTTATCTCTGAGATGTGATTTAAAACTTAAGACATTCACGCAAAACCAAGCAGTATGTCTGATGCATAGCAAAAAAGTTTGGGTTAACAGATAGTCATGAGGGTATAATCTCCTTTGAAAATACAATTTGCATAATGATGAATGGTATCCTGAATAGAACCATGAATTTAATTAATATCCATGATTTTGCAATGAAAGAAACAATCTTTGAGAAGTCTGAGTAATTGTAGTTTGCAAAGATGAAATGAAGAGCTTTCAGTCTTCTACATATCTTCAATCTTCAACTTTCAAAGTTCAACAGAACTTTGGCTTCCTAGACCATGGTCTGCATTACCTAGATCAGCGGTTCTCAACCTTTGTGTGACGGCGACCCCGTCACACGGACGCGCCGCCCATGTGCGGCGCGATGCGCATGCGCGGCGCCCCCATGCGTGGCACGACGCGCATGCGCGGCACCCCCATGCATGCATGACGCGCATACGCGGCGCCCCCATGCGCAGCGCGACCCCCTGAGGGGGGAAAATGGCAGATCGCGTTGTTTGGCGACCCCCATAAAATGGTCGTTCGACCCCAAATGGGGCCGCGACCCATAGGTTGAGAATCGCTGACCTAGATGAATGCTATTGGCAAGGGATGGATTGCACCTCACAAGAACTGGAAACAATATATTTGGAAAATGACTGGCTCATCTTATCAAAAGGGCTTTAAACTAAAATTGAGGGGGGGGCAAACTTCACGACCTAAAGAACCTAATTCCAAGCAAAAACCACTAGATAACCAATAATATAAGGAAGGGATTAAAGAGAAAAAAAATTAAAAAGAAAAACATAATGAAATAGATAGTGATGGAAAGGATTTAAATCCCAGTTACAAAGTAGGAGATATAAGAAATATAGCCAAGATCCATAAAGGACTCAAATGCCTATACACTAATGCTCAAAGTTTAGGGAACAAACAGGGTGAAGTATTAGTACATGAAGGCAGATATGATATCGTTGCCATTACTGAAACTTGGTGGGATGAAACTCATGACTGGAATGTACTGATGGAAGGATACAAACTATTCAAAAGAAACAGACCTAACAAAAGAGGAGGTGGAGTTGCATTATATATAAAAGATTACTACATCTCTACAGAAATACACAAAACCAAGGATGAAAACCTCCTAGAATCCATGAGTCAATATAAAAGGGGGGGGGAATGACATTGCTATAGGCATATACTACAGGCCACCCAACCAAGCAGAAGAAATAAATGAATTATTTGCTAACCAATTTACAAATGCATGTAGGAAACATACCACAGTAGTAATGGGAGACTTTAACTATCCATATATCAACTGGGAGACAAACTCTGCAGCTAGTGAGAAATTGAACAGATTCCTAACTAACTTAGCTGACAACTTTGTAATCCAAAAGGGAGAGGAGGGAACTAGAGGGAAAACTATACTTTAGTTGATCCACTAAAGAAAAAAGATGGTAAGGAAGTAATAGGCAGTAGAGCAGTGGTTCTCAACCTTTTTAATGCCACGACCCCCAACCGGTCGTAAGTCAAGGACTAAACCGGTCGTAAGTCGATGACTTTCCCTGCCCGGGAGCACTGCGCATGCGTGGTGCCACCCCCTGCGCCGGCCGAGGCGTAGCTGGCAAGCAGCAGAGATGGAGTAGGCCGACCACCGGCTGGGCCACCAGCTGTCCCAGCCCAAGGGAGGTAAGGCATCCGCCGGAAAAGGGGGAAAAAAATGGCGGACAGCCTTGCTTGGCGACCCGCGTGAAATGGTTGATCGACCCCAAATGGGGTCACGACCCATAAGTTGAGAACTGCTGCAGTAGAGAGAGGGAGAGAGAGCAGACCTGCGTAACTCATTCTTTGCATCAGTCTTCACACAAAAAGAAACTATAGCCCAACTTACCAAAAACATCTGTAAAAAATAGACTAGAAATAAATCTTAAAACAAGCAAGAAAATGGTAAGAGAATACCTGTCTGACCTTGATGAATGTAAATCACCAGGATTTACATTCTAGATGGATTACATCCTAGAGTTCTGAAGGAGCTGGCAGATGTTATCTCAGAACCATTATATCATATCTTTAAAAAATCTTGGAGCACTGGGGGACTACCAGAAGATTAGAAAAGAACTGATTGGTCCCATCTTCAAAAAAAGGGGGAAAAAAACCTTTCTATATTTGTATTAACTGTTTCCATCTAGTAAAGCAGAATCATACCATCGTTCTCTGAGATCCCTTAAGAATCTGCCTGTACTTTATATATCTCTATACTTTTTACATGACTTATTGCTTTAAACATTTTTCTTCTTTTAGACCACCAATGCTTAAACAAAGATATGCAGAAATAAAAAGATTGCATTTTGCAAAAGCCACTTTAAAAAATGCCCTAAAATAGTTTTTGAAAACTCATTCCATGTTTGCCTAATAAATGAAGGATACTTATGTGTTTTCTGGGTTTTTTTTTTCATTTAGATGAGATGCAAATTAAAAATCTGAGGTCTCCATTCCATACAACAGTCTATCTTATTCTAAAGTATCCCTACCCAAGCATCTATTTTTGTTGCCTCTATAGACAAATTTTGAATATGAAATATTTATCAGCCACATTATCTTTTTCTCCACGGTTGTTTTAAAATGCAGCATAACAGATGTAGTATATGTACTATATGCATATTATATCCCACTCAAAGTTTGTGACTTTGGGTAGCAAAGCAATAATAAAAAGTAAAAGAAGATCAAGATCCAAGAAAGTAAAACAAAAATAAGTACCCTAAACAGCCAAAATAATGAGGAGAAGAAGAAGATACAACTTATAAGCAACATAAAATCATAAAATCACTTTGATAATTCTTTTTAGGCAACTTGTCTTTGAAGGGCAGAAGAAAATAATGGTATGCAACATAGAGCAGGCGACAGCATATCCCTGATGTTAGACCAGCTAAATAGAGTTGATTAATATATGATTGGGAGAATACCAGAAAATCCAAAAGTTAGACCAGAATGGAAAATTGAAAAAGAAATCCCAAAAGAAGGCAGTGACAAATGACTTTTGTGCCTTTGTGAAGAAAAGTACACTAATGGGTTGATAAGGTCACCAGGAGTTAAGCTTGACCCGAGTGGGACATTATGTTAGGTCCATAACAAAGGTAATTTGTAAGTGGCAGTTATGACAATACAACATTTAGAATGTCTTATTAGTATTCTCCTAATATGCCTGGGTGAAAAATGGTAACATATATTTTATTATAGCGTTCTTAAAAGCAATGTCAGGGTTAGCAAAACAAAGGCATCTCAGCTTGCAGTATGCCCAAGGTAATTCCCTTTCTGAAACACATTGATAGTAACATCAGAACTTACTTGTTGCCATAATCAATTTTGGAAGTGACCTTTTGTTTCAGTTCTTTCAGTTCATCTTTGGGCAATGTCCCTGAGAGGAGTTGTGATCTCCACTCCATTAACTCACACATCATTGCTTGTACCTGCCGGAAGTGTTCCTTCTTGTTTGCCTGAAAGAGAAAACAATTCAAACTTCAGCTTGCTTAAGATGTCAGTTGCTGTTTCTCACTGTGGTTAAGCAACCCCTGTATGACAGCAGAATAAGTATATTTTCTCTAAGTGGAAGCGATTCTGTTTTTCCCAATCTACAAAAACCCTGGGGATCAAAATATAATAGATATAAAAACATAAACTTCCGTTTATGTTGACAAGGCTTAGTGCTTTATTGTGATTGAAAGTAGGGTGGACCAATGCAAAACAGAGGTAAGACCACAAGCATGATCACACAATAGAAAAAGTTGGCATAAACCAAAACTCAGCACTCCAACAGAAGGATTATTGTGTTTCTTAACATGACATAGGGACTTAACCCTCCAGGCAATTTTAAAATAACCTTCCTTTCATAGTAATGACATTTTTTTTTCTTGATTAAAAATTGTTTGCATGCCTCCTGCTCTACTACAGAGAAAATGAAGCAACTGCTCTAAGTTGCGACAGCTTTCCAATAATTCCTTCTGATCCACTAGGCTCTTCTGCTCCCTTGGAGATTTACTAAAAAGCTAGTCCCATGCTTTTTAAATTAATCTACTACCTCTGGAACTTTTTGTTGAAGTATAATCAATTATCAATCCAGTTGCTTGTGATGAGGAAACAGAAGGGATTGCCAAACTGTCCTGGACCCTTTCAGGATGAGTTCAAAAGATATATTTTAAGTTTTTGCTTTGTAGCTTAATTGTTGTTTACTTTGACCTATTCTCATTTTTCTCATCCATATATTCCTTTTCAAAATGACCCTCCTTTATTCAAAATAAACTTTATACTGAGGGGTCCTTGGTGCTCTCTGAGCTTGCTTGTTTTCTTGCAGATGTTTCATTACCCTAACTAGGTAACTTCATCAGTGCTAGTCTGGACTAATCTGAACTAGCACTGATGATATTACCTAGTTAGGATAATGAAATGTTTGCAAGAAAACAAGCAAGCTCAGAGAGCACCAAGGGCCCCTCATTTCAACCCTGAGCTACAAAAATTCTCCTTCACTGAAACTTTATACTTATGTGATCTTTGGGTACACAAAATTCATTTTCTTTAAATCGGACAGGTTACGCAGTGCATTAAAAAAAAGAAGCCGATCTGCTGTTTAGAAAAAGTATAAGAATAGTTTTTCTGCATAAGCAAAAGGAGTAGGTCCTAAATCACGAGAGCTTTCACTTTCTCCTAGCAGTGCATTTGTGCATGGTGCATTAAAGATCATTCAAAATCACATAACACTCAAAAGTGGAATTGCACAACAGCCTCTTAAATAATTGAAGCTAAATCTTGCAATGAAGGGGTTTCTTCTTTACAAGCACTTTCAGAGCAGTTATATATTCATAAAATTAAATGCAAAATACATTGGATTGGTGGATAACTAAACCTACTGACGTGGCACTTAATACAGCTAAAGCTTCTTCCTGGGCAGTCATAAAATTTCCCTGCAAGAAAGGAAGAATAACTCACCACATACAGTTGTTTCCAAATGTTACCCCATTCCCATAATGTGCTGGTAACCTCTTGTACCAATGGAATCTCAGCAGGTATTACATTTTCCGCATTTCTGAACCAAAGCATAAATACTGTATTATAATACAATTTAACATTATACACGTGATCAGCAACCCCAAGTGAAGAGCCAGAAGTGGAACAGTCAGCTATGGATGCTGGGTCCGTAGTTAAACATCTCACAGACAGATATTTGAGATAGACAATCCTGAACTGACCCTCAGATAGGCTCCTCTAGTCACTAAGCCATTCTATACTAGATGTCCCATACATCTCATGAATATTTGCTTATAAATGCAGTGCTGAGAAGTAACGAGAGTAGATGAAAGAATGAAATCAGAAAAGACATAAAAGAGATAAGCCTTGCTTCAGTGAAAACATTGCAATTCTGGAACACTGTTTAACTAACCACAAGATTTTCAAATACCTTCTCATGTTTTTTGGACTTCCAGACATGGTGAGGTTGGACCATGTCTGCCCAACATGGTCAGGATAGATAAATGACTGTATGCTAATTACTGTTCTGCAAACATAGGCTCCATTCACACAATAAGCTAAACTATAAGGCAAGGTTTAAACACAACAAAGGGTAAGACAATACTAATCAAATCCCTTTACATCTTAGCAAGTCATATGAACCAAGCCATCATGTTAGGCAAAAATGTGGTTTGTTATTGAGAGAACTTAGCTACATGGTATGTGGCTTGCTAACCATGGATAAATCTATTTCATGATAAAAATCTGCTTCACTGAGGGTCATTTTTAATTGTATGAGGATTTTTTTAACCACAAATAAAGTATGACATTTTATCTACATCTAAAAGTGGAATTCACATAAGAATTATGCATTTGGATCAGATGGGAAATTCAATAATATAGCACCACTCCAGCTACTCTCCAGATGCTTTTGTGGGTTTTACAAAGACAACAGCCTCTGAACATTCAGTATTAAAAAAATAGGAAGACTCTCAACTTTTTTCAGCTTTACTACCATGCTTCATAACAATTAAAAGATATCATGTTTCATATACCAGTCCAGCAGCTTTAAAAGAAAGTATAACTTTATCACTATTTTTATCAAATTCCCTAAAGTATTACTGAACATGATTGTTGGCATCTGATCCCAAATTGTATATTGAATTGATCTTAACCACAAGAAGGACCATAGAACAAGAAGGGACATTTGGTTTCGTTTGGTTACAACATGTTCTTCTTTATTGAGATGTGTTAAGTCCTGAGCCGGTGAGAGCAGGCTCGGGGCATTGCAACGGTCCCGGGCAGGTGCAAGCTGCCCAGGACCAGACTGGCTGTCGCCAGCACTCGCGCGCATGCGCGGGTGCAAGCGCGCCAAATGTTACAGTTTGGCCCGGAAATCGCCTATAAAAGGGGCAGGGAGATTTGGGCGTTGTCGGCGTCTTGTAACCAGTATGCTGAACAGAAATAAAGAGGTTCCTGAGAACTACAACTGCTTCTCGTGTCATTGCCATTTCACGAAGGACTTAACACTGGCGACCAAGGTGGGATGTCCTTACATCGACTGAAGACAGGTGTAAGCTTACCCTAGAGTCCTGAGCAGTAGGAGCGGCGTTAACTCAGCGGCTACCCGCCAATCCAGCGAACATCGGGGGTAAGCTGGCTGATAGACCCTTCCTTTTCTACAAAAATGGCAAAAGTTGGAAGACTTTCAGAATTTGATGTCTTCTATTCGGAAAGATGGGAGTCCTACGTAGCCAGGGTGGAAAACTATCTTAAAGTCAATCAAGTAAGAGAAGATAGTTTAAAAGCCTCCACTCTGCTGTGCGTTTGCGGTCAAGACGCATTCAAAATCGCTGAAAACATAGCAGCACCTGTACCTCTAGAATCTGTTAACTACACAGATCTCAAAAAACTACTAAAGGAACACTTCCAGCCCAAGTTGTCCATAATCGCTTGGCACCACACCTTCGAACAGAGGGATCAGCGACCCGTAGAATCAGCCAAAGAATACATTGCTGCGCTGAGAAAAGCCGCTAAACACTGTGAGTTCAAGGATCTAGAAGAACGGCTGAGAGACAGATTTGTATGCGGACTGAGGCATAGAGAATTGCAGCAGAGACTTTTCGCTAAAGAAGACTTATCATTCCAAGATGCCTTGAGAGAGGTTACTGCAGAAGAGGCAGCGGGCGGCGCCATCAAGAACATGAGGCCGATCAGAAGCACTCCAGAAGCTGTGTCCATGCACCAGGAAGGTGTCCAAAGGAACCCAGAGGAGGATCCTGACGATGAAGTAGACCGTCTCTACCCCACGAAAGAAGGGAAACAGAAGGAAAGCTCTTCAGCTCTCCCCAAGTGCCTCGATTGTGGAGGTCGCCACAAGAGGACTGACTGTAGATTCCGCTCCGCTATCTGTAGGGCATGCGGAAAACAGGGACACATTGCAGCTGTGTGTCTGGGCCGTCAGAAGGTACAACCTCGGGAAGAATTGCGCCTGAAAGGTACCAGGGTCCCCAGCCAAAACAGGGTGGGTTTCTGTGCTTCGCGAAGAAGCATTTATAGGACAGGCACACACAAGCCCATTAAGAAAAAGCTGTCACTTAAAGTGAAGCTACAAGGGGTTCCATTGGCTATGGAACTGGATACAGGGTCTGCACTTTCAATCATTTCCATGCACACGTTTAGGAAGATTTTTTCTGGCAGCGGATTTCAGGCCAAGCTGAGGCCTTCCGACATTGTGTTAACAGACTTTCAAAACTCCAGAGTGTGTGTTAAGGGGGAGGCCACCCTTAACGTACAGTATAAGGATTTTGAAGGTCCACTAGTTGTAATAGTAGTAGGGGGTGAGCGAATGAGTCTCATAGGACTCGATTGGTTTGAGGCCTTGGGAATACACATCACAGGGCTCAGTAGCTTGCAAACAGTAGACCTACAAGAAGTCTGCAAAGAATTTGCAGATGTTTTCAGCCCACAGCTGGGCACGTACAAAGGACCCCCTGTGTCACTGAAATTAGACCCCACTGTCAACCCTATTAGAATTAAAGCAAGAAGGGTTCCTTTTGCCTTGAAAGGTAAAATTGACACCGAATTAGATAAATTGATTCAGCAAGGAGTTTTAGAACCTGTCGACTCCAGTCCTTGGGAGACCCCCATTGTCACGCCTCTTTAGGCAAATGGGCACATTCGCATCTGTGCAGATTACAAATGCACTCTGAATAAGGCATTGCAGCAACATGCCTATCCTGTTCCCGTGGTCAGTCATATTCTGGCCTCCCTCAAGGGGGGGCGTGTTTTTGCAAAGCTTGACCTAGCTCAGGCGTATCAACAGTTGCCTGTTGACAATGCTGCTGCTGTAGCTCAAACCATTGTGACCCACAGGGGGGCATTCAAGGTAAAGAGGTTACAATTTGGAGTAAATGTGGCTCCTGGAATTTTCCAAAGCATAATGGAAAACACACTACGGGGTATACCAGGGATTTGCCCCTATTTTGATGATGTCTTAATTGCTGGAGACTCTACACACAACTTAGCTGAGAGATTAAGGGCTGTCCTGCTGAGGTTCAGGAAAACGGGCCTCAAACTTAAGAAGGACAAATGTAAAATTGGGGTGCCTTCTACAGATTTTCTGGGATTCAAAATTGATGCTACCGGGATTCACCCTGCTGAATCCAAATTGAAAGCTATTATGCATGCTCCTAGGCCAAAGTCCAAGGCCGAACTACAGGCCTTTCTGGGCCTTCTGAACTTTTACAACTCCTTCCTTCCAAACAAGGCTAGTGTAGTCAAGCCTCTTCATAGGCTCCTGGACAAACAGGCAGTGTGGCAGTGGTCACAAAAACACGAAGCAAGTTTCAATGAGGTTAAGGCCTTACTCACTTCTAACAGTGTGCTCGCACATTTCAATGAATCCCTTCCTGTGTGCATCGCTTGTGATGCTTCTCCTTATGGAGTGGGAACCGTACTAAGCCATCTCAGACCAGATGGAACTCAGGTTCCTGTTGCATATTACTCCAGAACCTTTTCTTCTGCAGAACGAAATTATGCTCAAATTGACAGGGAAGCTTTAGCTGTTGTTGCTGGAATCAAAAAGTTCCATGATTTCCTATATGGCAGGCATTTCACAGTCTTCACTGACCATAAGCCTTTGTTGGGGCTGTTTACCACACATAAACAAACTCCCCAAATCGTCTCCCCCAGAATGCTGAGATGGTCTATCTTTCTGTCTGCCTATGATTTTTCCTTATTTCACAAACCTGGGAAAGAAATGGGCCACGCTGATGGCCTCAGTAGATTACCCCTGCCAGTAATAGAGGTTGACCCTGCATCAACAATCAATATCCTCTCCATTCAGGCCTTGCCTGAGTCCCCTTTAGATTCCAGGGATGTGGCTGCTGAATCAGCCACAGATCTCACACTTTCTCGTGTCCTATCTTGGGTTTTATCTGGATGGCCAGAGAGCTGTCCAAGCACTGAATTTCAGAGTTTCTGGTCCAAAAGGAACGAGTTATCCACTTTCCAGGGTTGTCTGCTTTGGGAGAACAGAGTTGTCATCCCTGCCTCAATGAGGACTAGGGTCTTAGGTTCCCTCCACGAGGGTCATCCTGGCATTGTACGTATGAAGGCGCTTGCGCGCAGCCATTTGTGGTGGCCTGGGTTAGACAGAGACATTGAGGCTAAGGTGCATGCATGCCATCTTTGTCAACGCTCATGCCCTGAAATGCCCCAAGCTCCTGTACATAGATGGGAGGAAACACAGTCTCCATGGTCTAGGGTGCACATTGACTACGCTGGGCCCTTTCAGGTCAATTCTTCTTGGTCCTGGTTGACAGCCATTCAAAATGGCTTGAGGTTGTACCTGTCTCTTCCACCACCACTGCAAAGACTATTCAAGTACTGAGGGGGATTTTTGCTGCACACGGGCTTCCTGATGTCCTCGTACCTGACAATGGCCCTCAATTCACTTCTTCCGAATTCCAAGCTTTCTTACAGGCCAACATGATTCGTCATGCCACCTCTGCGCCTTTCCACCCGTCCACCAACGGTATGGCTGAACGCATGGTTCGCATCACCAAGGACGCTTTGAAGAAAATTACCTATGGAGACTGGCATCACAGGTTGGCTGACTTCCTCCTTTCTTATCGCACTACACCTTCCACTTCTACTGGGAGGACCCCAGCTGAACTTCGTTGGGGGCGCAAACTGACTACCAAGCTTGACCGGTTGCACCCGGACAGACTACCTTCCACAATCACACACCCCAGGGCACCTAGACAATTGCTTGTGGGTGCCCCGGTTTGGACTCGTAACTACGGGCCTGGTCATTCATGGGTCCCTGCCACTGTGTCCAGGGTCACAGGTCCTTTGTCCTACGAGGTTTCCCTGGATGACGGTCGTGTCCTGCGATGACACATCAACCAGCTCCGCCCTAGACGGGACCTTCCCACTGAGACTCCTGGGTCTTTTCCAGGGGGGGAGGGGGACCCCTATGGGCAAAGGGAAGAGTGCGGGCTGCCGCCTATCATTGACGAGGGAACTACAGACAGCTCATTCCGAGATTCCGCGAGTGCTCCACACAGGAATTCATGGAGCCCAACTAGAACCCAGGCACCAGTGCCTACTCCAGCCAGAGAGTCACCCCAGGGGCATAATCACTACTCACCCGAATCACTCAGTACTCCAGTCAGGGAGGATACCCGGGAGCGTCCAAACAACCCACACCCTGCAAGAGAGCTGGCACACATTCCGTCTAGTTGACCCAACACTGCCCCTGTCCCTAGAAGGGGGCAAGCACACAGGGAGGTGGTCGAGGAACCGAATCCCGACCACAACACCTCTGGCATCACCCAGGGGACAACTGAGTTTTGGGACAGTACTGAAACCCCAGCAAGCTCGGGTACAGAACGGGAACACGGGGAAAGACAACCTCTTGACAGGTCTAGGACAGACCTGGGACATTCTACAGAGTTGCCCAACAGTGACAGTCACTTAAGAGAGCCAGAGAGCCTGCAGCCAGGCAGGACAACCAGGTCAAACAGAGAAAGAAGCCCTGGCCTGACGAGCCCGGTGGGCAAGCAAGCAGGCCAGGCATTGGAGCACAGTCCTTGGGGATCACCAGGGCCTAGCAAGGGGAACAGGCATACATCACCCCTCAGTCAAGGGATACTCGGAAGGTACCCAGAAGTCAGGAGGTCACAGAAAGCTAAAAGATCTCCTAAGTATTTAGAAGATTTTGTAACCCTACTGGCAAAACAGAGTTAACAGAGAGTATTCCTGTACACATAGGAAAATAGAACACTGGGGAACAATAGAAGCAAAAGGAATAACGGGTACAAAGCTAGTATGGGTTCCACACTCGTATTGGGTTGTATATTATTATTTGTATGATCATAGTCTTAGCCGGGGGGGAAGGGGTGTTATGTCCTGAGCCTGTGAGAGCAGGCTCGGGGCATTGCAACGGTCCCGGGCAGGTGCAAGCTGCCCGGGACCATACTGGCTGTTGCCAGCACTCATGCGCATGCGCGGGTGCAAGCGTGCCAAATGTTACAGTTTGGCCCGGGAATCGCCTATAAAAGGGGCAGGGAGATTTGGGCATTGTCGGCGTCTTGTAACCAGTATGCTGAACAGAAATAAAGAGGTTCCTGAGAACTACAACTGCTTCTCGTGTCATTGCCATTTCGCGAAGGACTTAACAAGATGTGTTTCTAATATACCACATTTTCACCAAAACAAGTTAAGGTATCTAACAAATGTATATTATATATAATACCTTTTCTTCTCAGCAGCAATTTCTTTGATGTGGATAAAAGATTTTGGAAATATTCCCTGTTGGAATTGAAGGAAAAAACACAGCTGTTATATTTCCCCAAAAATATCTTCCTTGAACAGTTGAAAAGTCGACACTATGAAAGTAGAGGTTTAGAAGCCAACTCTGGTGAAGCTATGATACTTTAATAATTGAACTACAAGACTGAGTTAAATTATTATTATAATGTTCCATACTTTGCAAGGTATACAAAAAAGCACTAACCACTGAGTACTGGCCATACCACCTATCTTCTTTTGCTACTGATTTTTGACCATGCCTGGCCAAATGATACAGCAGTCCCTCTCTAGCAACACATGCTGAATGTCCCAAATGTATTCCCTGACTTTTCCTTTTGAAAAGATCAAGGATATAACAAGAGATATTTTATTGTTTACCAGTGATGGTAAATAACGCTGGATAATGAATCTTTTTTACTAAGTCAAAGAACCTGTTATAGTATGATGGAGATGGACTTGGATCTGTCCAATCTGTAATTCCACTCTTTTCAGTATTCATTGATATCTAACATCCAAAATTGATCTTACAAAGACTGTTGATGTTATGAAAAGTAATTTAGATGAAGTAAAGTTCTTTGTCTTTCTTTATTCTTTCTTAGTCATTTTCTCCTCTGTACACAAGGAGAAAAAAGCAAGTTATAACACTTCAGTAATAACAATTACGATGATAATAGGATAAACTCACCTCAGTTTCTTTATGTCTGACCAAGTATCCCCTATACCAATCTATGATTTAAAAAAGAGAACCATATCATTGTATTAGATTTTGTCCCCTCACACAGCTTCTGCTATTTAACAGTTACTCTACAAGTACTACCCTGGGACTAAGTCTCACTGAAGACAGCACATTCCCACAATATAGTTGAGAAAAAAAGCTGGCCTATCTATTAAAATATGGTTTTATGGTTGTACATTCATTCATTCATTCAACCATTCATGTCACCTATGCAGTTCGGGTTGTCTAACAGGAATTGGAATACAATATAAATACATGCATATTTTAACAAACAAATAACACCCTTCCCAATTGATTAATTGATCAACACAAAGTGGCTTCCAAAGACAACCATATACCAATAGCATGAGTTTGATTGTTCCAGTGACCCCAGTATGTTTTTAAACCAGCAGAGTCAGACCCAGTTGAACCATAAGCAGTATAGTATGGCTTTCCAGGGGGCAGGTGCAGCTACAGAATAGAACCATTTCCTAGGTTCCATCCAATGACAATCCCTAATAGATGAACTGAAGGATGCTGCTTTGATCCAACCTAGAAACAATGGAAGCAAAACTGTCCATCAAGCACTCTGGCTCCATGCTTTGTACAGCTGTCTTAGTAATAAACAGTACCTTGAATTGCACCAAGAAGCAAATTGGAAAGCAGTGTAGCTTGCAGAGCAAAGGTGTAACATGGGAAAAGTGAAATATACCCATGATTGTCTGTGGTACGACATTGTTGACCAAATGAATGGTTTAATTTGTACATTTCCTCTAACATTGCTTTCCTAGAAAGATGGCAGAAAGATAGGAAAGATTTAAATGATCTATAGCTACATCCAAAAACAGACCTGACTTGTATGACTTCTCTAAATTTAAACGAGTACTGTAGTAATTCTCCAAGATTGAATGTCACGTCTCTGGGTTGTTGAAAACCAGAAATAAATGTTTGATTTTACCTCTGGCTTTTAAAAGAATTCAAGAACCAGCACAGATTCATGTATCTGAAAGCCATGTTTTCCAGTTATCCTTGAACTGGGCTGTTGAATTTATCCATATAGGCAAATGTGTCATTAGGAGTCAAACTACTATTCTGCATTAGCATTGTAGACTCCATATGCTAATAATAATCATGTTAATTTTGTTTGCTTTTTGCTTTTTCAAAGCAAGGAAAAATACTTTCTATGTTTTCCAAGTATACAGACACTAAACTGTCCTTGTTCCAAACCTATGGAGAGTTATAATCCAAAAATACTGGAAAATGTTTCATGGAGCTCCCAGAAATTCCTATACTCCTGAGCCTGATAACTGGAAGTTCTGGGAGTTGCAAACAAGTACATCTTGAGAGTGTCCAGTTGCAGAATGCTGAAATGTGATTTCTTGACACATAAAATGATCAGAAGAACCTCAAAGCTGAATTAAATAAAAAGCTATGCAACCATGCATCTTTTTCCTTTCCCCAACCCCACATGGACAGCCAGGTGCCTAGCAGAAGCACGGATGGGAAGTTTGAAAACAGTAATTCATTCTCTCTCTCTCCTCCACTAGTAATGAGAGGCTTGTATTGCTGATTTTAGATGTCCTGATCCATCAATATCTTTCTCACTAGTTACTGATAGCCCTGGCTTCTATGACTTTTACCATCCAAAGAGATTTAAGTTTGTGGCGGTGGCTGCATTTCATGAATGTCAATTCCATTGCTCACCTATCTGCTGCAAGCATCTTTATTTATAGCTGACTTGAATTCCCACTGTTCAGTTTCACAAGAAGAAGGGAAAGAAAACTTTCTAATCATTTTCAAACTATGAAATTTTAGAACGTCTGCTTTAGTTTCTTTAGGTCCCTATCCCAAAAATAATGCACAGGCTGTGCACTGATAATAGGTTTCATGTATAATGCAGATCCAAACTCATCTGAGATGAGGGATTAAGGTAAAAATGTTATTTTTCTTCTAGTTTATTTTTATTTTATTTTATTTTTGCTTTTTCTCTGATTAAAATAAAAGCTCCCATGTCTAGTTGAATCTGCCATTCAAGAGGTACCATCGCAGTTCTGGTTCCAGATCGCAGAGCTCACAGCTTTGCAAAGAGACTGCTCTCTTCGCCAGCTGATTCTCCACTGCCGGTAGACCCTTAATCGGGTCAAAAAGCTGCCCTGGAGGGGTGGCTACCACTGAGGAGGTCCTTGTTTTGAAATCATTTCCCTGCTCTGAGAATGCAGCATTGGTGAGTGTAGAAAAAAGAAGCTTATGGATTGAATTAATTTAAAATTGATTAATTTTTTTCTCTATTTTTATTTTTATCTTTTTTTATTCACTTTGGGGTCTTGGAAAAAATTTTTAATATTGAATCTACTATTGGACTTTGTCTATAACTGAAGAATTCTCCTTTTTTCTGTGTTTTCTGATTTTGTTAATGATATTTCTGGTGTCTGGGAGGAGATTTTATATTCTACTGAGGACATCTTGTGGAAAAAGTTAAAATTGCATTGTTTCTTTTTCTGATGGTGAGACTGGCTTTGATCTTCAGACTACCATAAAAAGAAAAAGATAAAGAAATTCAACAGCTGTATTTGTGGGGGTGGATACTGATTAAATGTTCTTTGAACACAGCCTCTACTAAAGATACAGATTGTTTCTAATTTTTTTTTTTTTTTTGAAATGGAGAAATCTAATGTTCAACTTGACTATAAACTTATACTGGAAAAACTTTATAAAGCTACTGACCAAATATGTTTCCAAATAAAAGAGTGTACTATGGCAATAAAAAACAGATATTTTGCTTTGAATTCACAAATTGACCCCCAGACTATATCTGAGTATTTTATAGACCAAAAAACAACAGAAGTGGAATCAACTAAGATTTAAAAAGATTTTACTTTACTTCACATGCATGCTGATGAGATCTCTGAGGAACTAAAAAGGACTGTAACTAAACCACTTACAACTTTAAAATCAACAGAAATGAACAGACAAGCTCAACTAACTAAAAACTATGATAGCTTGGATAAGCAATTATTAATTACAAAATTGGACATAACTGAGCCTGTTATTCAACAGTTTCAAATGTGGAGACTTGATTCTTTAAAACAACAAGGGATTACCTACAAAGAAGCTAGGTCTTTAAAACAGAAAAGGAGACGCTTTTGTTTGACTCAAAGGATACTACAAGGCATAAAAAGTGACTTATTCATTGATATAGAGATGGTGTTATGGAAATCTGTCTGGCATAAAAAGAAAGCTAGAATAAGATTTAAGAGTGTGACTTAAGGCTCTATATATTGGATTTAAAGACTTACTAGATATGGATTGATTTATGGCTTAAGACAGTTAAATAAGATGTTAGAGTGAATAAAAATTAATTAAAGGTTTGAATTTAATAAGAAGATGTTTGTCTACATATTAACATGTTTGTTGTGGTTATAGTAATTTGGGGAGGAAGCTAAAGGAGTTTGACACAGATATCGATGGAGTGATAGATTATAAAGTATAATAGAAATAGAAAGGTATTTTTTGTTTGTTTTGTCTTTTTTTCTCTTTGTTTTTTTCTTTTCTCTCTTCTCTTCTTTGAATTATTTTTTTATTATTAGAAAGGATAGCTATTTTGTAATGGAAGAAGAATAAGAAAAAAAAGAAGAAATGATATTAAAAAATGTTTATTGATTATGTTAAGGAAAAAGGGAATGGGGAGACACCCGAAGTGCTAATTATTAGCTATATGGAAGATAGTAACTGAAATAGTAAAGCTTAATACAGGATTTGGATTTATTTAGATGAAATGTTACTGATTAAGAAAAAAGAAGGAATGATATTAATAAATGAATATTGATTGTATTAATGAAAAAAAGGAATGGAGAGACATTTGAAGTGCTAATTATGTATTTATGTTAGCAATATGGAATATAGCAATTGTAATAGTAAAGCTTAATATAGGATTTGGATTTATTTAGATGAAATCTTATTGATGATTGTTTTGACTGACTTAGTTATACTGAAATACATTAACTTGAATATAATATATTACTAGAGGGAATAGAGAGGGGTGCTTTTCTTTTAACTTTTTTTTGTATGATTTAATCTGATCTTTAGGAGTATGACTTTGTTTTTGGACAATTGATTGCCCTGCCACCACGGTGATTCTTAAGCACTGTAAAATGAAAAAACTAATAAAACTTGTTTTTTTTAAAAAAAGGAGGTACCATAGCATCCTTTTCACATGCTTGTTTACCTCCTAGGCCTTTTAGATTGGACTATAATTTAGCAGAAGGAGCGAACTTTGCTTTGACTATTGTTTCTTGGAGAGAAAAGCTAAGAAGATACCATGGACAGCAGCTAGGACAAAGGAAACCAGCTGAAGGTCTATTATGCAGCCATGTCATAGCACAGTTTCATCTCTGTTGTCAGAAAGCATTGACACAGTTCCCTCAGTTACCAGTTTAGTGATGTCTGTTCATATACCTACGTGGAGGTAAGCCAAGGCAAAGGCACTTACTTAGTTATCAAAGTCACTAAGCTACAGCCCCTCCCCCCAGTTGCTCAATGGCTGTATTGTTACAATGAGGAACATTAATAATTGAGGTCTGAAATTGTTCAAGTATTAATGACTGATTATAAGTTAAGAAGTTGTAGTATAGTTGAGGATATAGTAATGTTGGACTATCATGTTGCACTTATTAAGGTAGCTAATCCTTTGTAAGAACAACTTTCTAATAATCTAAATCAATGTTGTAGTTCAAGAGAGACCTCTTCTGGTAAAAAAAATAGATAAGCCACTTTATTAGATAGATAGGTAGATAGGTAGGTAGGTAGGTAGGTAGGTAGGTAGGTAGATAGATCTAGATCTTTATCTCTCTCTCTCTCTCTCTCTCTCTCTTTCTCTCTCTCTCTTTCTCTCTATATCCTGTGCTATTTTGATAATTTTCAGAAGCAACACTGTTCCAGAACTTTTCTTTTGAATTAATAATTCTGTATTTGTCATTACCACAATGTAACATTACACTTACGTAATATGAAAGTTGAGATTTGTAATCACAATATAACAATACACTTATGTAATGTGAAAGTTCAGATTGCTTGTAGTGGTTTTCACAAGGTAAATGTAAGTTGGATGCTTTGTGTGGGCTGGCAGGCCAGGTGAGTTGTGAGTCTTCCCAGGCCCCAGCAGCTTTGCTTGTACTGGTGGGCAGTGACTCTCTCTGAATTGCAGAGTTTTGCTTATAACAGTGAGCTGGATGGGTGGCTGAGATGGGGGGAAGTAGTTGGGTGGGGAGAGTTGCAGCAGCACAGCAGTTGTAAGTGTGTGCAGTCTACCAAACTCCCACATTTTTATCATATGACCATAGGATTGCTACAATGGCCGTAACTTCAGGAACAAATTGTAAAATACTTCGTTCAACGCTGTCATAATTTCTAATAGTTGCCAAATGATTGGTCATAAGTCAAAGATTACGTGTAAGTCATATTCTCCATCACATTGGGATATTAGCTGGACTTTACCTGAATAGTGTCCACCCTACTCAAAATCCATTGAGAGTGACATATACATTTGCAAGACCAAACAATCTCTATTAAATAGTCCTTATATGAAATAGCTTTACTTGTACTCCACAGTCAACCACAGTTTTAGCTTAAATAATAGTGAGACCATGTTAATTCACACCTCACATGTGCAGTACTTAGCAACAAAGAAAGCCATGGTTTGCAGATAAAAAGTTATAAGTTATTTTATATACAACTCCAAGCTCAAGCTGATGTAGCAAAGGTGTCACAATATGAAAAGTACTGTATATTTTTCATGTTTACCTTCATGGTCTTCCAATATATGAACCACATCCCCAATCTGTAGTGATATCTGGGGCACTTGGGTAGCTTTGAAATTGTATATTGCTGTGAAAATAAAGAATATAACGTCATTAAGCGACTTTATACTTTAAATGGATTGTTTCCAGATGCAGCATTCGGTTTAATATTATGAGAAAGAGCTTGAATAAGCCTTAGGCTCACCACCCCTCTTCTTTGAATTAATTGTAAGAAAGAGTTTGCAAGATCTCAATTATCTTCCCAAACCATTCAGTTCAGGCGTGTCAAACCTGCAACGTCACGTGACGTGTCACGACGTATCATGACTTTTTGCCATTGCAGGCAATGGGGTGGGTGCGGTTTCATTATGATGCATCCGGCCCGTGGGACGGCAGTTTGACACCCCTGCTTTAGTTGTATTTATCAACTGAGAATTGTGATTAGTGTTAGTTAATCACTTTGGGCAGGAGTAAACAAATTGTGTCTGACATAGGCTGCTTAGAATTCTTCAAGATCATGCCTTCAAAGTGAGCAGCTGTTCAATAACTTTTAACAAGTCTTTCTCCCTAATGCTTGAAGAAGTCAATGAGTACACTTCCAACCATCTCTCAAAAACAGCAAAAAGTTTGCCACTGCATCCTCTGGAGATGTTATTATCACACTAGCCACATTCTCTGCAGCTCTGCAAGATAAATCATCATTGCTGCTGCCTCCACCACCATCTTCACCCTCTGAAAAAAGAAGAAAAACCTCTTGCACCTGGATGAGAGAAATAAATATGCCTTGAATTTAAGATAAGATAGAGATAAGATAAGATAACCTTTATTGTCATTTTTATACTGTGGGCACAATGGCACACATCAAAAATGAAATTTAGTTGCCCGCTCTCAAAGTGAAACATATACATGACACACACCTAAACATACTATGAACAACATATGTATAGACCCACATCCCTACATATACATAGCAAATAAATATTAAATATTGTCCATCTTGAATATATAACAGAAGGAGGAAGCTTGAGAGTTCACAAGGTTAATGCTGTATGGAATGAAATTATGGTGCATTATGGGATGATTTTGGATTTGGGCACAACAGTAATTATTCTCAGTTTCCCATGGAAGGCGGAAAACCCCCCTTTCCTGTCCTTAGTATAATGCCACAGAGCACAGAGAAAAGGAGTTCTCTCACACTGGTATGATACTCCAGTGTATGGAATGAAAAAGACCAGTGGGAGATAAAATGATTTGAAAATCACTTTGATTTTCAGTCAAATTATGTCAACTCCATATCAAAAGGAACCAAAACTGCATGAGAAAGTTTGATTCACAAGTCAAGATTATTTGGTTGTATTGCAGTTTGGAAAGCTAACCCCAAACATAAGAAATACATGTGCTAAGTGGTAAACATAAATAAAGAGTATCTGTGCTCAGAATGATATAATTAGAGAGCTGTATATGTTTAGGCACTGTTGTGCTATTTAGGGAATAAAATCTGCACTTAGAGGATGAAAAATGTATTGTGAGAATTCAGAGAACCAACTTTCATTAGCAAAACTGTTTTCAGCTAGTACAAAACAATTTAGGTGATGTACTATGTTTGGGCCATAACTGTACCACTTATGAAGCAATTCCTCCACACCTTCTACTAAACCATCCAAGAGCAAAAACAAAATTAGATTCATTATCAAGAGGAAATTGGGCTTTCAGTCTGAAATAAATGTATTTGTGCTGCGTTCTCCAAAAGAATCCAGACACTTGAATCCTAAGCACATATTAAATGGTTATTCCAAATTCTCCTCTTTGCCACCTATTTCATTCAAAATTTGTTTTGGCATTCTTTCCAGCACGCTAGCCAATATGCATAGAAAGTGATTTCAAGAGATAGCCAAGACAATTCAGTAACAATAATTACCTTGTAACAACAATTAAGGCCATTGTGTTAGTACATTTTGTTCTCAGATTTGACTCTCTTTGTTGATTAGCTTCCCAAACAAAACATATTTACAGCTATATTGCATCAAGCTGTTTCTTACAGCATGATGTGAATATTCTTCACTATTTTTACATTAAAATACTAAATGTTCAATGATAAAGATGTTTTTAAAGGAGATTTTTATTTCACAATTGCTTTATTCACAATATTACATATCTGGGTCCAGATAACATCATTTTCCATTTTTTGAAATCTTCCTATATCTTTCTTTTTTAATTTCTTTTTTTAAATTAACTGTTAGAGAGGAAAAGACAGCCTGCTTGCTACTAATTAGCAGCATTAATCAAATTGAATGAATAAATTAAAAGCCTTTCCTATCCTAGCACCCAATTATAAGGTCAATGACACCCTAAAAGTCTTGAAGACAGTTGGGGACTGTTTTCATTATATTGACATTACATATTATATTAGTTAAGGAAGGAGGTGATATATTTATTTTAAATGAAATTTCAAGAGACACAAAGATGACACTGTCAACACCCAGGATGGAAACAAAAATCTTAAAAGAACTTGTGGGACAAATTAGGATGAAAAATCATACCACTGAAAATCAGCAACACAGTGGTTTATAGTTTCGATCAGAGTGACTGCACAGGGCCCATATCTAGTGTATAGTTTCTATTTCTCTTTTACTAGGACTATTAAACCTGAACTGCAAACATCCAAACAACCATAAGGCAGCCAGCCAAGAATTAATTCTCTGCACCTCTTTGCTGCCATCTTGACATTATATTCAGTGGTAGGATTCAGCCATTTTGCACCAGTTTGGCAGAACCGGTAGCTAATTTTTTGTTGCACAGGCCCAGAATGGACTTCCGGAAGCGGCATCCACACAGAGAACCAGTTATTCACATATTTGAATCCCACCACTGATTATATTGATATCTGCAGTTCTGATTCAATAAGCCTCCTGTTGTTTCAATCTTTCTCCAGAGTTCTTTCTTCCATATAGAATTAGAATTAATTCAAAGGACCCATTTTTTTCATTTCTTTACATTTTTAAAAACCATTCCAAACTACTCAAAGGTGCTTTTTCGTGAGGTAAATGGACTTTCTTGTTTTTCTTTGAAGATGTTTCGCTTCTCATCCAAGAAGCTTCTTCAGCTATTCCAAACTACTGTTTCAAGATGAAGCTGGCTCACCAAATGGATCTTGGAATTCCATGCCCAAACTCTTTGTGTCATTTGCTTTTTCAAAATGTGGTTTCAAAGGGTCCTAGATAGATGGAAATGGACCTTACCATTGCTTTCACCTTGAACCTTTCTGCCTCAATGGATGGGATTTGCCCTAGCTGGAAAACATGATGATTATATATAAATCACTTTTTTTAACTGGAATCAAATAATTTAAGTACAGAAGTTCAGTTATGAAACATTGCCAGAATATCTTTTTAAATGTATTTATTGCAATTCTATCTTGAATTCTCCCAGTAATGCAAAGAGGTATTTATCCTCACAATAACTCTATGAAGTAGATCAGGCTAGACATAGTGACCAAAATCTAGTAAACATCATAGCTGAGACTCCCAAATCTAGTCTGACTCTTTAATCACTCTGTAGATCACGTATAGATACTGACATCCCCTTGTCAGTAAAGTTATTTTCTTAATTACTGGGTTAATTTAAACTCTAGTTAATTCCTTTGCTGTGGCATATTAAATCACTTCAAACCTAGGGCCTTTCAAACTGTTGTAGTCTTAATACTTAAAAATCAAGGATTGGGAGGATGGAATCAAATAAGAGACTTTGTTCTTTCCTTGTAGGAAAAATATGAAGTGTCACATATCAGCTCCAAAACCAAGAAAGGCACATTGTGATTCTTCCAAGGGGATTTTTTTTAATTTCCACACCTATAGACAGAATCTTGCCAAACTAAAACAGACGACCACCCACATAAAGCATATACTCTGGGAACTATTAGGGAAAGGCTGTCTTCACCCTCTTTCTCTTACACAAAATATCTGAACTGAGTTGTTTTTTATTCCTCTGGATTCACTTCCTCCTGGAAATCCCACCCATTACATTCCATCACATGCAGAAGGGAAGCCCCTTGGTAATGCTTTAATAATTACATGTGCCTTTAAAAGGGCAGCCATAAATCCTTCATTTGTCAACTCACTTAAAAATAAATAAAGAAAGAATGAACTTAAATGAACGGATCACATTACAACTTCAGAAAATATATCACAGACTGATTAACATAGTTGGAAGGCACCAGAGGAAAAACACTGCTACCTAGATAACTGCATAGTATTACTTTATTACAAATATAGAATTCAATCTGCCAACCTTTGTCAAAGTTTGCCTCATTCTTAACCTTGCACTCATTTTATTTCATGCTTTTTATTTCCATTTTTGTTCTTAAAGGAAACAATTTCATAAAGCAGGTGTGAGGAAGTAAATGTACATTTACTTCCTAGAATCACTGGATTGGTTCTGCTTGTGCCAGGAAGAGAACAGTATAGAACTTAATAATATTCAGAATTTAGCAATTTTGCCTTAATAGAATAATGTTCTTTGCTGATGGTACCTTAGGAAAGGGCTTTAGCATGATGACATCCAAATAACTGACAAAGGAAGTGGTTTTGCTGCCTTAATGTTTTTTGAACAAGTGGAAACTTACAGCTAAGTTCTGCCACGTCATTTGATACTATGAATCTGATTCTTAAAAATTGATAATGGACAGGGAATAAAGAGAGGCAAGCTGTTTGAACACTGTGAATTCCTATATATGAATTCAGGAGGCCAAATGAAAAAATAATAATTTTAAAAATTTGTATCAGTGAATGGCTTCTTTGTGCTTATATAATTACAAACTCTTTCCCTTTTTTTTAAACAAGTGGAATAGAGCTTTTTTAAACCAATCAGTTTTATATATTAAACTAAGATTATACAGGTAGTCCTCGACTTACAACAGTGACTTATGACTGTTTTTCACACTTAAGACCATTACAGCGTGCTTCCAAGGTCACGTGATCAAAATTCAGACGCTTGGCAACTGACTCCTATTTTTGATAGTTGCAGTATCCTGAGTGTCATGGTTCCGATAGATGAAACCAATTAAAAGAACTTCAAGGTAAAGATTTCTTC